AAGACAGGACATTGTCTGCACCCATAAATCAGAGCTGATACTTAACACTCACTCGGCTGGGCGACCCTTGCCTTCCAGGCTCTCAATTCATTAACTCACCAATTAATGAGGACAAAATGGGCCCAGCCTGCAGGAGGGGTTCTTAAAGGGTCGAGACTAATTTAGCAAGAGTGGGGTCTCGGTGGTCCCTCCAAAACCTACAGTCCCCTCTTCTTGTTCTGTGTTGCCAAGTCTCCTTTCTGGACAAAAGAGGAAGAAAATACACTCACCAGTTCCTGGCCGGAGGCTGAGCCAGCTGCGAGGTGGGGACTCGTATTTTGTCAGGACTGAATTCATGCTTGACCTCTAGGGGGGTGGCACCTTGCTTGGCCTTCGAGCCATATGCCTCTCTGATCACACCCACAGCTCTCTGTGCCTCTCTGCCCAGCCGCAGTCCCAACCCTGAAGGTCTTCTCCCAGACTCAGCCCCATCTCAATTTCTCCAGCAGAATCTGTGCAGAACACCACGGAGCTCTCAGCTCTGCCAATCTGTCTCCCTCCGACGAAGGCCCCCTGGGCGCTGCAGCTCTTCACATGCAGACCGCGTGCCCGTGGTTCGCACTGATTCCTTGCTGGTGGTTTTCTCCCCTTGGATTTTCCATTCCCAAGTACCCATTCGCTCGCTGGAACAGACTTCTCACACTGCTGGCTGCCTTGGCGGGTGCCTTCTTTCCCTTCCTGGAAAGCAACGCCTGGAAGACCCTTATCTCTGCGATCCCAACAGCCAGCAGGCCCCTGCTGGACTCCTTGGCAAGGAAGGCCTGAAAGTTTGGTGGCTTCTCCCTGCCCCGCAGACATTCAGTAAGACATGCAGTCTGGAGGCCAGCAAGTTCCAAAGCATTAGAAAAACCCAAGCCACAGTCTGCCGAGCCCCACAGCAGCATCAAGGCCAGGAGCCATAGCAACCCTCAGCTTCCCAGCACAACACATTGTCTGCCGGCTCAGCTGTTTGCTGACTCCCAACTTTGCTTACTCAGCTCCTGGCATTTCCAGATTGGACCTGCTGCCCCTCAACTACAAGTGTGGCCCCTTTCAGGCTGCCCCCAGCCCACCGTCTGCCCCTTTTCCTGGCAAAGCCTTTCTGCAGAGGCCCCGAGCATCACGTGGCTCCTTCCCCATGGCAGCACAGACGGCCCCCATATTTATTTTAGCCACCGTTCAGGCTCCGCTGAAGTCTGGGTCTCTCTGCCAGGCCCAACCCTGGGAGAGCGAAGACGGAGGAGCCGAGCTCTCGCCTGCTGAGAGGCAGTTACAGGCCAGAGACCTCAGGCTTTTGTTTTTAATTTGAACTCTTCTGGGAGCAAAATTCTTTTTCCTTCTAATACACTCTCAGACACAGTCCACAAAGGATATAGCACCCTCTCTTAACTTACATACTTGGGCCCATAGAGAAAACTTAAAATACTCCCACTGCATTCAGTACTGAAATGGAAAAAGGCACAGGTCATTTGCTGGGGTTTCCCCTTCCTCCTGCTGTGGCACTCAGATTTCACTACCCCTTCCAATGATTTATTTTCCCCAAAGTTTTTGCCATCATTTCTCCTAAGCATTTAAATAATTTCCTAGAATAAAATGATCTATATACATAATGAAACTACATAAATTCATGTTCTTAAAAATATTTAATGATATAGAAGTTCATATGTTAAGTGGAAAGAGCTGGATGGAAAAACATACATATTAGTTTTCAGGTGGTGAACATGATGTAACGTACACAGAATTCAAAATACGATGTACATCCGAAAATTAAAAAAAAAAGGTAAAAAAACCCACATACATAGGGTAGGACACTAATTTTGTAAAAAACCACACACACGTCCACTTCAGAAAAACACCAGAGACAGCATCACAGCGTCACCGGTGATTACCTACACGGTGGTGGACCTGAGGGTCACTGTCTACCTGTGCGAACCGTTCATACAATTCTAAAAGCAGTAAGTGGGAGGTTTATGGAAAAACTCCCAGGAATGGAATGAGTGGAGGCGGTGGAGCCACTTCCCTGGAGCTCTTTAACAGGACGCTCAGTGGCAAGAACAGGTTTCAGGCAAACCTGCCTGAAGGCAGGCCAGGCAAGATGGTTCATTCAAACACCTCGTTTCTGCTTCATCCCAATGTGGCTGTGAGGAAGACAACCTTGGTCCTTGCCTTCTCGCAGTTTACAATCTAACCAGAGACGGGCGTGCACTGAGGTACTGGTCCGCCTCCTACAGACATGCCTCACGTGCTCCTCACACAGGTCCCCACACGCAGGAGGGAAGAGCGATGGTTGTATCTTCAGGAAGGGAACAGGCTCAGGTTACATCTCTCCCCTGGCAGGATCTGAACCCAGAGCTCTAACATCAAAGCCTGCTGCCTTAATCATGATACTGCCATACCCTTATCTAAGAAAAGAAATGGTCACAAATGTTTTACAAAATTGCCACCTGGTACAACCAAAGGAACGCCGTACCCACGATGCCTGTCCTCACACCGCCTGTCGGCAGATACCCCAGTGTCCAACAGGGTGAGTAACTGCCAGTCAAAGCGGTCCCAGCAGAGGGGGGCAGCTCTTGGCTCGCCATCTACCATCCTCTCCTGCAGGCCACTTCCAGATTTTGATTTCCCGAAAACCATAATCCAAGGTACCTGAGGGGCCAGCGCAACTATCCCTTCTCCCTTTTCTCAAATCTTCAGTTTCTACACTGGGGTCTCAGAATGTACGCCGATTCCTGCCCCCAAGGCCTTAATGGAGGACATGGGAATGACAGACCTGCCTTTGTTTACAAAATAAAATGATCCCTAGGATTTGAGAGTCTTCTCATTAATTCTCATACTAGCTTCCTACAAATGCACCTCTATAAAAGAACTGACATTAAAGAATACAAAATTGCGACCAAAGGTTTTCACCTTCTGTCATACATTGCTTTAAAGGAAGCACGTGTACTTTGGAAATCACATACAAAAACGACTGAGAGTCTCTGTAAGGCGTAACTCCAATGCAGAATTCCTTACTGCCCACTCTGAACCATAACTGACTGGAAACGACAAGGCCCAAGCAGTTGACACGGACAGACAGACACCCAAGGTGGAGGGCGCTGCTGCCACTCAGCCAGGCACAGCGCGGAGCAGGCCACAGAGCCACGTCTGCGGCATCTCTGAATCCCCCGACAAAGTCCCACACAGGCTCCTCAGCCAAGGCAAGCTCCAGTGTGGCCATCTGACCAATGGCTGGTGGCTCCCTCTAGTGGCGATGTTTTCTTTTTTTTTTTTACCAATGGGGACTGCAGACAGGGCATCCTTGAAGGCCAGCAGGAAATTAGGCTAAAGGTAAGCCTGGAGTAAGGAAAACGCAATGACTGGGCACGAATGCCCTTCTTCTGAAGACCTGCTGCTGATGACCTGGAGTGAGTATTACTGTAAAGATACAAGGAACTGGGGAAGGAGGCAAAAAGTTGATGGTGGCAGATTGTCTGTCAAAATTCTTTGCAAGGCCAAGATAAAAAAACACATACAGGGGGGCTGGCCCCGTGGCCGAGCGGTTACGTTCGCGCGCTCCGCTGCAGGCGGCCCAGTGTTTCGTCGGTTCGAATCCTGGGTGCGGACATGGCACTGCTCGTCAGACCACGCTGAGGCAGCGTCCCACATGCCACAACTAGAAGGACCCACAACGGAGAATACACAACTATCTACCGGGGGGCTTTGGGGAGAAAAAGGAAAAAATAAAATCTTTAAAAAAAAAAAAAAAAAACACATACAGGGGCTGGCCCCGTGGCCGAGCGGTTACGTTCGCGCGCTCCGCTGCAGGCGGCCCAGTGTTTCGTTGGTTCGAATCCTGGGCGCAGACATGACACTGTTCATCAAACCACGCTGAGGCAGCGTCCCACATGCCACAACTAGAAGGACCCACAACGAAGAATATATAACTATGTACCGGGGGGCTTTGGGGAGAAAAAGGAAAAAATAAAATCTTTAAAAAAAAAAAAAAACCACATACAAGCTAAATTTAGATATAAATAAGAGGCAACTAAGAAGTTAGACGTTAAATGGTCTCTAGGGTATCAAGACTAATCCTGGAGGGTAATAAGGGATCCTGTGCGCATTTGTAAGTCTGTGGGTCTATGAGACACCAAGGGGGCACAGGAGTAAATAAGACAATGATAATCAATGATTTAAAGGAATATGAATATTAAAACCCACACATCCTAGTAAGTGTTCTTCAAGATGATCTGCCAGGAAGCTGGAATTCACAACACCAGTTTGAAATACCGCCTCAGTGTCTCACTGTCCTAAACACAGAAATGATCTGACCCAGCCTCATCAACCTTTACCAAAACCACTTCCAACCTTGAAGGATAAAGAATCCTGACCACTGGGGCTGGCCCGGTGGCGCAGCTGTTAAGTTCGCACGTTCTGCTTTGGTGGCCTGGGGTTCACTGGTTCAGATCCCAGATGCGGACACAGCACCGCTTGGCACGCCATGCTGTGCTAGGCGTCCCACATATAAAGTAGAGGAAGATGGGCACAGATGTTAGCTCAGGGCCAGTCTTCCTCAGCAAAAAGAGGAGGATAGGCAGCAGTTAGCTCAAGGCTAATCTTCCTCAAAAAAAAAAAAATTGTGACCACCAGAGAGAAAACCAAGAATGGACTTCCATCGATTTTCCCAAAGGCTTCTGGGAGATGGTATCATCACCAGCCTCCTGTACCCTTAGAGAAAGCTTTAGATGCACAGAGTTCTCCATGTGTACAAGTTCAGGTCCAGCCACCCAAAGGCAAGAACACGGTTCCTCACAGGAGTTGCTCTGCTAGTGCTTCTTCCAAACAGCCTAGTTTCCAGCTCTGCCCACCGTGTATCTTCAATCTCAGAGGAGACGTCAATTAGGACAAATCTAGCTTTAAAGGGGCCCTAGGAGAGGCTTCCTGGATTTGAGAACAATTTTTTCAGCATAAAACCATCCGATTAAAAAAAAATAAATGAGGGGTTCTTCAGTCCAAACTTTTATCTATTAAACCTTGATTACATTGAACAGACTAAGCACAATCTTTTAATACTGGACCCACGTGAATAGGACAGAACTTGGACAGCATCAAATGAGCAGGGATGAGAAAGACCACCGGGGCTGTGGCCACCCTGCAGGTGGACCCCACTGTTGTGGTCTCCTGCGCCTGTCCACCGTCACTGGGCGAAGACCAAGGTGAGGACAGAGTCCGTCTCCACATCCTCTTATACTTGTGATCCTGCTGGCCAGCCTTCCTTCCTCCTGGGTACATTTTTTGGGCCCCAGTTTCCCTGTTTTTATCCAGATTTCCAACAACCAGGTCCTTGAAGAACTTTCTGAGGAATTGATCGTATTCTCTCTGTCTTAATGGTGGACAAACTCTCTCTGCTGCTTTATCCCTCAGAAAATAAAACAGACAGCAAGTATGGTTAACCATACAGAAGCCTAGGGCAAAACTCTGGGCTATGTAGCTTTAAGAGACTTAAATTTACTCTAAACACATTCACGAGCTATACAGGAAACACCATTTGCTAGGTAAGCACGCCGTTAACGACCACAAAACCCCATCAGATTGCTGAGGTCAAGTTGGAGACAGTCAAGCTTTCCAGTAGAAAGTTTCCTTCCCTATCGAAAACATCAGTATCAGTTTGTTTTCCGACAGCGTCTAGGTCTGGGGGGTAGTTTCTCTTCATCTGCTTTCTCAGTTTCTCTTGCTCCAATTTTCTCTGATGCTCCAGGAAGTTTAAAATTATAATCTGTTGTGATGTAAGGTATCGTCCCTTCGAGCCCACGCTGAAATGGAAACACAAAGAGAATGCATGGACACACTCCAAATCCAGCCAGGAGAGTCTGCAGCATTTTATTTCTTCCCCAGAAGACAGTGTTATTAAGGGCGAGTCTGAGTAAGGTCCTCTCACCCTTAAGACACTTGGTTCCCTTCCCTCAAGGGGCCCCACTAAAGCAACTGGCCCAGTTACAAAGGTGACCGCCTCCCTCCTGTCCAATTCAACTCAACAAACACATGGAACAGCACGAGAACAGGTGGGTGTGGGTGTATGTTTCTCTCTCAAAGAAGTAAAACGAGCAAGAAAGGTAGGAACACCCACTGCCTCCCCAGGCCACTCAGAGGCCCTGCAGTTTGGCATTGAGGCCACATGGATGCCCTTGGCCAACATGACCTTCCCATGGGCGCACCTGAAGACTGTCCTCAGGAAGGGGTAATCCTGGGGCAGCCACCTCTGCCCTCCTCCCTGCTCTCTTCTCCTACAACTTACTCCTGGGATAAGGGCTCTGCTACAGGGCTCTTGACCACGAGTGATAGCAATTCATGGGAGTGGCCTTTGAGGCCACTCTGCCACTCCTCTTGCCTCATCCAGCCTCTACAACAAACCATTTTCCAAACAATAACCTGTTCTCGTGACTCTCACCCCAACTTCAGGTCCTCACTCTCTCTACTGAGGACACGGCCAGCTACCTCCAGGGCAGTCCCTGGGAGCAGTACTCACCTGGCTCTTGAAGACACACTGAGGAACAGAAACGGCTCCAACCAGCAGACAATTCACATTTCTTAGCTCTTCCGGGGGCACAGGAGTGAGGATGTGGTAAAGCCTCTTCTCCATGTCGATCCCCCTACAGATTCCTTGAAGACACACAGAACACACAAAATCATCCTTGTTGGGAGATATCAGATCTCCCCACCACTCAAAATTGAAGAAGGGCTTTTAAAACACGAGTTTTAGGGGCTGGCCTGTGGCCAAGTGGTTAAGTTCGCGCGCTCCACTGCAGTTGGCCCAGTGTTTCGTTGGTTCGAATCCTGGGCGCGGACATGGCACTGCTCATCAAACCACATTGAGGCAGCGTCCCACATACCACAACTAGAAGGACCCACAACAAAGAATACACAACTATGTACTCGGGGGCTTTGGGGAGAAAAGGAAAAAAATAAAATCTTAAAAAAAAAAAAATATGAGTTTTAATTTCAACTGTGTCCTGCTTTGAAAATACAAAGAGCCAAGAGATGGCATATTTGACTGTGAAGACTCTTGGTATACTTCTCCTCATTCAGCTGTGAGGAACCACAGAGGTCTACATGCCAAAGTCCTCGAATGTCTGAGCTGAGGCTGCACAGGCCAGGAGAAAACCCACTAGTGGGGAACACAAAGATGACTCGATCTGTCCCCACCACCAATTCCTTCCTTATGGTCTCTATGAAGTGTCAGTCTTCTATAAATCAGAAACGTGCATTTAATTATTTAAGAATTTTGCTAATTTTAGGTTACGTAGGTCCAGCACCCTTTCAGAAATATACACTGGCATTTATTGACCTCAGGGAACCAGAGGAACAATCATGTGTGGTAGGCTTGGCAAAAGAGGCAGGAACCCAAACCAGATGGGCACTGAGAGGCCTCTGGACCTGTGTGATGGAAGTGCCAGGACGTGACATAATCATGTTTGTGCTCAGATCACTCCTGACTCTGGGGAGTCCAGTCAAGAAGCTTTTCTGGTAGTCTACTGCAGAAATGCTGCTGGCTCAGACTGGCATGGAGATGAGATGGAGGACTCCAACATATTTTGAAAACAGAAGCTACCAGACCTGCTAGTGGGTTGGATGTGGTGAATGAAGGTGAGGGGGTGCCAATGAGGACTCAGGGGTCTGGCCCGAACACCAGAGTGAATCTCTGAAGGATCATTCATAGGCCCGGGAACAGGAGATGGCGCTGGGTCGGAGGAGGAGATTCGGGGAGAACATCAGGGAGGGGGTGGATGGACCCGTCAGGACCCTGGTTTTGGACCTAAGTCTTAAGAGGCCAGGGAGACATCAAGAGAAGTGCACTGGTAACATGGGCTTTGAACTCAGACGGATGGTTGGGCTGGAGAGGTCCTATGGGAAGTCACCCTGAAGATGGATTCAGAGCCCCATCAAGGGGTAAATGGCCTAGAGAAAACATGTCAAGTGAGAAGGCAGCTGTGACCAGGCCCTTAGGAATCCTAGATTTAGAGGAGCTGGGAGGAAAAGCAGAGAAAGGACTGCTTCCTCCTTGTCTTCTGAGGCCCACTGTATACAAGACAGGGATGTTCTCCGACCACTCCAGGCTAGACACAGTTACAAGGTCAAGACTAGCCATCTACAGTTGAAGAAGTGGATCAATTTCAGTAGGTTTATAGACATGTTTTATTCTCAAGACTCACCAAATCCCAAGCAATCACAGATTGGAGTCTGGGCAAGTAGGATGGGTCCATTTGCATAACCTCTGACATCATCCAGGATCTTGCAAAGACCAACCCAGCTGGCATTCACAGCATACAATATATGGGTAGGAGCGACATCAGCGTGAATAATCCGGAGTGCAACTGCATTGAAGGGGACCTGGAAAATAAATTTGCATCTCTATTAATTCTACTTGAAAGACTACTTTCAATTTTCACAAGTTGACTAGCCAGCTACATAAAGTTATGTCCACCAAACTGCCTTCCAAAAAGTAACTAAACTGAACAGAAACACCAACCAGCACTTGTGTGGTTCAAGTTTCACTGCTTTAACACAGAGAACCTAAGAAATGGACGCAAAGCTTCTGTATACCAGCAACACTTCCTAGAAAACTAAACCGAATGCCTGGAGCTTTCTTGTTTGAAGAGACACGTAAGATGCAGGTTTAGAGACATCCTAAACAAAGCTGAGGGAGGCTGCGAAAATCCCATTCACTGAGAGGTTTCTTAATGTAAGAAAGTGAAAATCCATCCAGTGAGAAAAGGCCTCCCCTCGTTCCCTAACGCAACAGACCGAGTTCAGGGAAGTGGATCGCATTCCTGCGGGAAGATAAATAACTACCTTTAACATATAACTTTCAGTAATTCTAAACTTTTAAAGTTGAAAAGTATTTTGTTATACCTATTATTTAGATTTCGAAAGTAAATTTGAAATAAAAGGCAGTTTTAACTTCTGGCAGATAAGTTCTGAGTTCAGTTATAGGGCATCTCCAAGTGAGTAAATTGGAGTAAATCAACCAAACTCCACTAAACAAGCTGCCTCAGAGGCCCCAGCGGAGATGACTCAGAAGCCTGGAGTCAACCTCACCATCAGGCTTGGGAGACATGTCCTCACCATCCAAGCCACTGCTCCTGCCTGTGTGACTTCAGGCCAGTGTCTCCACCTGACTGTGCCCAGTTTTCTAAGCTGTAAACAGGGAGATAACAGCATCTCCCTCACAGAGCTGCCACGAAGTCACTGGGCCATCCCACATAACGTGCTTTGCAGAGCGCCTAGCACAGAGAACGTGCTCAACACTGGAGAGACCACACAGCAGAGGGTGGACACTCAGGGCTCTAGAGTCAGGCTGCCTGGGCTCCAGTTCCAGCCCAAACTTCTACTGTACCACTTTGGGCAAGCTAACTCAGCGTGCCCAGCCTCGGCTCTATCATCTGTAAAACAGGGATAATAACAGGGCCACTATGAGTAGAGCTTAGAACAGAGCACAGCACAGAGTAAACGTTTAAGAAATGCTACCTGTTGCTATTTTACTCTTTCATCATCCAGAATCCTAATATTATGGTGGTTTCTTCCCAAAATAATTCTTAAGAACTTTGATCCCAAGATGCAAATACTCTGGTGCTAGAATCTACTTTTGACAATAACATGAAACACTTTAAGAGAGCTCTCCGGGTGCCAGACACCACTGTGAACACTCGTTGAGTCCACACAACCATTCCACAAGGTCTGGACTGCCTCTGTCCTACAGATGAGAAACTCAGTCACACACGGCTAGTCAGCTGAAGTGCTGGAGCTAGACGGCCTGGGTCTAATCCCAGTGCCACCTTTGGGTACACCATTCTTAGCCAGCATGGAACCAGAGTTGTGCCCAGCACAGTGGTTCAGAGCATGAGCTCTGGAGCTGGCTGCCTGGGTCTGACGCCAGTCCTGCCGCTTCTGCTGGATCACTCAGCCTCCAGTCCGTAAACGGGGCTAGTTACAGACCCTACCCCTCAGAGTTACTCTGAGGGTCCAACGAGTGAGGAGTTATAAAGTGGTGAGAAGAGCGCGTGGCACGTAGGAAGTTACAGAAGCACTTGTGAAACAAACAAAGACAGTCCCCCTACACGTTCAGTTACCTGGTAGGGTGTCAGGCTATGTAAGGGAGAAAGTGGTTTTGGCACCGGGGGCTGCAGCTGGCCAAGGTAACCTAACACCGCCAAATCCCGAAGAACTTTGTTATGTGAGTCTCTGAAAAGCAGATCAGAACGAGGTAAGTAGCAATTTAACTCTACAGGTCTACCTCCCACTCAGGAACACAGGACATCTGTCATTACGTGGGTTATTTTTACACAGAGCTTGTTTCCACCTTAAGATCTGCAGACCCCGCCCTTCCACAAACCCAGTGGGAAAACAGGAGGCAGAAAGACTCTCCTTCAAGCGGAAGCTCCTGGCAACCAGAACTGGAGGCCACTTCTGGATATTTCTATTGGGAAAGTAACAGTTCAGAAAATAACTGGTTCTCCGTAAATATATAACTGTGACAGAGATTTGAAAACTTTCTCAGGACTTATTCATTTTAAGGAATTCAGGACAGAAGGCCTTGTTAAACTGAAGAAAACTTAATTCTCCAGCCATGATGGTCTATTTACCTATTTCTTGGAGTTTTTCGAAATGTAAAGTCTGACTGAACACACATCAATTTATGTCCAGTAAACACAACTGGACTCTCCTTCTCCTCGTCAACAAAGTCCAAATTCTCTGTAAATTCTGGCAGGTGAAAACCTCTGTTTCTGATTTTGGACTTGCTTTTTGTGTACAAGCCATCCATGTCATCGACGTAGTCGGGGGTGAGGTTTGGCATGTATTTACTTCGGCCAGAACTGAACTGAACGACGTGGCTGGGAGACAGTAATCGGATCAGATCAATGAGAAGCAAAAGCCCGTTGTCTGTGAAGAAGGAGATGACATTAGCAGTCAGTGCACCAAAAAACACCACCACATTCCAACGAGAAACTGTGCTTACAGACTTACTCTTAGACACAGAAATGAGCAATAAGAAGACCCTCCTAAAAACTGGGCTTCAGCACTAACGTTTGAAAGCCAAAAGCTAATTCATACTGCCCGTCCCTTCCTGCCTCCACGGCTTACCTGACACCCAGCCCATTGTGTTGATGATAAGAGGAGACTCTCTCTTGTAGGAGCTGAACACATACTTTACCATCTCAATATAATTCTCACAGTTGTTTTTACAAGAAATTTTCCCATAATACACCATTTTCTGCGGTGTCCTCTGGTGGGTGAAAGGTGGCCCTAAGAAGATAAAGACGAGAGTAATCAATCCACAACTACTTGAAAGGTGGCAAGGGTTTTGCTTCCACCATCATCACTGACAAAGATCCTTAGAAAATCTGAGACCAACCTACCATGAGGAATAGCTGTACTCCCATTTCCGGAAATCTAAGCTTCTAACTTAATCCAAAACATGCTCACTTTTACATGAACAGTAACCCCAATTATGTCCTAATATAGCCATTCATTCAGCAAACACTCACTGAGCACCTGCCACATGCTGGGCATTCTTCTAAATACTTAGGACACATCTGTGAACAAGATAAACAACCCCATCCTTGCAGAGGCTTACATTCTAATAACAACAGCAATCCTCTGTTGGAATACAGCACTTACTATGCCCTGGGTACGTAACATACAGCCTCTAATTTTCATAAAAACAGTATGAGTCAGGCACTATTATCATCCCCATTTTTACAGACAAGAAAATTGAGAAAGAGACTAACTTGACCAAAGTAACACAGCTAGGTTATCAGCTGGGCTTGAACTCAGGTGTCCCAGCTCCAGAGCTGACACTCCCTAATCACACCACCAGTCTGTCCAGCTTAAGCCACTTCCAGTCTCCCCTGGTCGGCAGGCAGGTGAATGGGACCATGTGGCAACACAGTGAGCAGGGCAAAGGCCTTGGTCAACGTGGCTGATGCAAGGCTAACCGGGACAGCCCACAGGTGAGAGAGGGGCTGCACAGTGGAGGGAGCGAACGAATACAAAGGGACTGAGCAAACATGTAAACATACCGAGAATAACTGTAGCCAGGGTTCTTACATCAGAGAAGGACCTTATAAACAGAAAAGAAGGAAGACTAACTAGAGTGAACCCTGGGTGTCAGTTTGGAATTGGAACAATTGGTGCAAATCCATGGCTCTTAAAAAACAGAAAAGATTTACAAAGAGATATAGATGTATGAGTGTGTGCATATGCATATAAATACACATATGTACACACATATATGGCAAGTGTGGGTTTAAACATACATATATTCCTTATATCTGTCCCCTGAGGGGATGTGTCCACTGAGGGCACCTGGAAGCAACGACACCCCAGAAGAAAATAGCACGTCTAGTTATAGTTGGAAGGAAAAACCCTGGCAAACACTACCTTAACCAAGCGAGCAAAGCCAACATCCTGGTGACAGGACCAGTGACAGCACGTTGATATGATGCACTGAGCACACAGCATCACTTCTAAATCTAATCATGAGGGACATTCCACAAATGCACTCTTCAACGCTGTCAAGGTCATAAAAGATAAGAAAATCTGTTCCAGATTGAAGGAGATTAAAGATTTACAAGTATACCCTGGGTCTATACAAATGACTGGGACAATGGACAAAACTGGAGTAACGGTACTGTAGCAATGTTACTATCCTGATTTTGGTTGTTGTGTTACATATGTATGTACATATGTAACAGAGTGTCCTTGTTTTCAGAAACATCTACGGAGGGGCCAGCCCAGTGGCGCAGCAGTTAAGTGCGCACATTCTGCGTCAGCAGCCCCGGGTTCGCTGGTTCAATCCCAGGTGTGAACATGGCACCACTTGGCAAGCCATGCTGTGGTAGGCGTCCCACATATAAAAAACAGAGGAAGATGGGCATGGATGTTGGCTCAGGGCCAGTCTTCCTCAGCAAAAAGAGGATTGGCAGCAGGTGTTAGCTCAGGGCTAATCTTCCTCAAAAAAAAAAAAAAGAAAGAAAAACCTACTGAAACATTAAGGGGTAAAAAAGGAAAAGAAAATCAAATGGACTAGAGAAAATGTAAAAGAAAAAAAAAGAGGAACAATGAATCCAGCCAAAGAGCTATGCCTAAACAACTATTTTTGATACACTTGTTAAAATACTGTAAATGTTTTAAGAATTCTTATTGACAAAAAGTCTGTTAAATCTCTAACATATCTAGCAACCTAATATGATACCATCTGCTTCTTTTAAAAGTTAACTAGGGGTCAGCCCCGAGGCCGAGTAGTTAAGTTCACGCACTCTGCTTCGGCGCCCCAGGGTTTCGCCGGTTGGAATCCTGGGCGCGGACACGGCACTGCCCATGAGGCCATGCTGAGGAGGCATCCCACATGTCACAACTAGAAGGACCCACAACTAAAAATACACAACTGTGTACCGGGGGCCTTTGGGGAGAAAAAGGAAAAATTAAATCTTTAAAAAAAAAAAAGTCAACTAGGGCTCAGCCCAGTGGCCTAATGGTTAAGTGTGGCGTGCTCCACGTCAGCAGCCCAGGGTCAGTTCCTGGGCACGGGTCTACACCAATTGTCAGTGGCCATGCTGTGGTGGTGATCCACATACAAAACAGAGGAAGACTGGCAACAGATGTTAGCTCAGGGTGAATCTTCCTCTAGCAAAAAGAGGAAGATTGGCGACAGATATTAGCTCTAGGTGAATCTCCCTTGGGAAAACAAAAGTCAAATGAACAATCACACGATTATCTCGACAGACAAAGAAAAAGTATTTGACAAAATCCAACATCCTTTCATGATAAAAGCATTCAACAAACTAGGAACAGAAGGCAACTTCTTCAACCTGACAAAGGGAAACTATGAAAAACCCACAACTCACATCATACTTAATGGCGAAAGACTGGATGCATTCCCTCTTAAGATCAAGAACAAGAAAAGGATGTTTCCTTCTATTCAACATTGTGCTAGAGGTTCTAGCCAGAGCTATTAGACAAAAAAGAAATAAAAGGCATCCAAACTGCAAAGGAATTCACAGATGACATGATCTTATACATAGAAAATCCCAAAGAATTCACAAGACAGCTACTAGAGCTAGTAAGGGAATTCAGCAAATTGCAGGTCACAACTTCAACATGCAAAAATCAGTATGTCTATAAACCAGCAATGAACAATCTGAAAGGAAAGTAGGAAAGCAGCTCCACTTACAACAGCTAAAAGAATTAAATCTTTAGGAATAAATCTTTTTTTCTTTCTGCTTTTTTTTGGTGAGGAAGATTGGCCCTGAGCTAACATCTGTTGACAATCTTCCTCTTTTTATTTTTCCCTCCCCAAAGCACCAGTACATAGTTGTATATCCTAGTCGTAGGTCCTTCTAGTTCTTCTATGTGGGATGCCACCACAACATGGCTGGATGAGCGATATGTAGGTCTGCACCCAGGATCCGAACTGGCAAAACTCAGGCCACCAAAGCAGAGTGCGCGAACTTAACCACTACACCACCGGGCTGGCCTCTTTAGGAATAAATCTAACCAAGGACGTGAAATACTTATATGCTGAAAACCACAAAATATTGCTGAAAGAAATTAAAGACAACCTGAAAAAATGGAGAGACATCCCTTGTTCATGGCTAGGAAGACTTGACATTGTTAAGATGTCAGTACTACCCAAAGCAATCTACAGATTCAACACAATCCCTATCAAAATTCTAACAGCCTTTTTCAAAGAAATGGAAAAGCCAATCCTCAGAGTCACATGGAATTGCAAGGGGGTCCCCAAAGGCAAAAACAATCTTGAAAAAGAATAAAGTTGGAGGACTCAAATTTCCCAACTTTGAACTTACTATAAGCTACAGAAATTAAAAGAGTATGGTAATTGCTTAAGGACAGATACACAGATCAATGGAATAGAATAGAATACAATATATGGTCAAACGATTTTTGATAAGTGTGCCAAGACCACTCCCCGAGGAAAGGACAGTCTTCTCAACAAATAGTGATTTGAAAACTGGATTTATTGTTGGTAGCATCATTGAGTCGATTCTGACTCCAGGCAACACTGCACACGGCAGAGCGGAACGCTGTCCAGTCTTTTTGTGCCGTCCTCTCCCCTTCCTACATATATCCCACAGTGCTCCACTGCTATTCACAGGGTTTTCATGGTCAATTTTTTCAGATGTGGGCGGCCAGGTCCTTCTTCTTAGTCTGTCTGGTCTGGCAGCTCCAGTGAAACTGTCCACCATGGGTGACTTCTAGCTTTTGAAATCCCAGTGCCATAGCTTTCAGCATCCCAGCAACATGCAGCCACCACAGTATGACAACTGACAGACAGCTGGTGTGGTTCCCTGACAAGCAAACAACCCCGGGCTGCAGCAGTGAGAACGCTGAATCTTAACCACTAGACCCCCAGGGCTGGCTGGAAAACTGGATATCCATATGCAAAAGAATAAAGTTGGACCCTCTCCTTATATCATATACAAAAATTAACTCAAAATGAATCAAAGACCTACATGTAAGAGCTAAAACTTATAAAACTGTTAGAAGAAAACATTACAGAAAATCTCTGTGACAATGGATTTGATGGCAACTACATGGATATGACATCAAAAGCACAGGCAACAAAAGAAAAAATAGATAAACTGGGCTTCATAAAAATTAAGAACTTTTGTGCATCAAAGGATACTATCAAGAAAATGGAACAATAATCTATAGAATGGGAGAAAATATTTGCAAATCACATATCTCATAAGGGATTAACATTCAGAATATACAAAAAACTCCTAAAACTCAACAAAACAACCCAACTCAAAAATAGGCAAAGGACTCGAATAGACATTTCTCCAAAGAAGATATACAAATGGCTAATAAACACATGAAAAGATGCTCATCATCATTAATGGAAATCAAAATCAAAATGAGCTATCACTTCGCATCTAACAGGATGGCTATACTCAAAACAATAAGCAGGGGCCGGCCTGGTGGCACAGCAGAATTAAGTGGGCACGACCCACTTTGGCGGCCCGGGGTTTGCCGGTTTGGATCCCAGGTGCAGACATGGCACCGCTCATCAAGCCATGCTGTTGTAGGCGTCCCACATATAAAGTAGAGGAAGATGGGCACAGATGTTAGCTCAGGGCCAGTCTCCCCCAGCAAAAAGAGGAGGATTGGCAGCAGTTGTTAACTCAGGGCTAATCTTCCTCAAAAACAACAACAACAACAACAAAAAACCCCCCCAATAAGTAGTGGTGAAGATGTGGCGAAATTAGAACAATTGAGCATTGCTGATAGGAATGTAAAATGGTGCAGCTACTGTGAAAAACAGTTTGGCAGTTTCTCAAAAAGTTAAACATGGAACTACCACATGACCCAGCAACTCCACTCCTAGGTATATATCCCAAAGAACTGAAAGCAGGGTCTTGAACAGAGACTTGTATAGCAATGTTCACAGCAGCCCTATTCACAACACCTCAAAGGTGGAAACAATCCAGGTGTCCGTCAACAGCTGAATGGATAAACAAAATGTGATATATACATACCATGGAATAATCTTCAGCAGTAAAAAGTAACTAAATTTCGATATATGCTAGAATATGGACAGACCTAAAAACTATTACACTTAGTGAAAAAAGCTAGATGTGGAATTACAAATACTGTATGATTTCACTTATATGAAGTACCTAGAACAGGCAAATTCACAGAGACAGAAAGTAGTAAACAGCAGTTACAAGGGTCTGGAGGGAGAGTGGGAAGGGGGAGTTACTGTTTAAGGGGTACAGCATTTCAGTTTGAGATGATGAAAAACATCCCAAATTGATATTGACAGTGGTGATAGTTATACACACTATTCGAATGTTCTTAATGCCACTGAATGTACACATATGAATGGCTAAATATCATGTTATGCAAATTTCACCATTAAAAAAAAAGCAATATGAGATTCTGAACCAGAGAAAGGACACTAGTAGGAAGACTGGTGAATTCTGAATAAAATCTATAGACTGTTAATAGTATTAAATCAATGTTAATTTCCTGGTTTAGAGCATTGTATAGGGTTATAGAAGACGTTAATAGTAGAGGAAGATGTTTCTTATTTACATAAAACAAAATGGATAGTAGTTCCATTTACTAAAACGGAACCCTGGAGAAGTACCAGTTTGGGGTTTTTTGGAGGCTTGAGGAAGCTATGGGAAGACCATGAGTTCGGTAGGCAGATGTTCACTTTTTATATCTTATACTTTTATATTCTTTGAGTTTTTAATAAGCATTCACTGTGTTTTACAAAACCAAGACATTTAAGAAATGTATATCACGTACCTAGAACTGGTTCTGTAATATTAAGTAAAGAAATACAACCCGGAGGAGTAAATTCCGTCTGTCCCAGATCACATTCCAAATAGTCAACGCAGGAAATACTGAAAATTTAACAGAAAGAAAGTCTTAACTAGCTTTACTATATCAAAAGAATAAATCAGATCTTCAAGATTTTATGAGATCCACAGGCCTAATTAGGGGGAATGCTCCAAAGATGATGACCAATATAAATAGAACAATGTAAAGAGAAAATGTGATACAGGCATGGCCACAGTGCCCGTTCATAATACGGATACAACTCTGTCTTTCTTAAAATTTTATCTTTAAAGTGTAACAGAATTTACCCCTAATCTGAATCTCTGGATTTGGACAAACCAAGTGACTCCTCTCAAAAGCTCACAGATAGGCAGTCAGTACACCCCGAGAGCATCGTCACCTGACTCCAAAACACAGCATGACAGAGAAGGGCACCACTCAGCTGAGCAGCTGTATATAACCCGTATATATAAGATAGCTATAGATATAAAGCTGTATATATAAGAGTTGTACATAATCTCTACTTAGAAGTCAAGATGCATTTGCATCGGATTCATAAATCAAAAACACAACTTCATGTCAAAAATCTAGCAATATGTCAAAACTGGAATAAAAATACTCTTACCTATTTAACAACTGGTTGATCAGGGATCTATTAAATGTTGATTTTCCAACGTCCTGAGCTCCACAAACCAGAATGATAGGGCAGCCATCTACTTCTTCTGGAGGTGAAACAAACATTGACCCGTAGAATTAGCCATCTTCTTTAGGACTCTGATCATAAACAGTCATCCTCTGAGGCTTTGGCAGATAAACGCTGGAATTTATCAATGTCACTCACCACAAGAAACGCTGACTAACTCTTCCATGGCTGAAAGGGCACTCTCAGTTAAACGAAGGCCGTTTTTCTTTTTCTCTCTTTTAATGCCAACAGACCTCAAGGCGAAATATTCAGAGTTAATCTGGAAAGTCGGACTCTGAAATTAACAATTTAAACTTTAAGAAAAGGTGAAAACAAATGTACCTTTTTTTATTCAGTTCTAAATTAATAAGACTCATACAGCTGTGAGCTACAAAAGTTAAATTTGATCCCTCCCTTTCTCTCACTTCCCAAATCCAACCCTTCAGTAACTCCTGTCAACTCTACTCCTAAAGTTATCCGTGGCTCTGTTTTCATAGCTTACTCTTACATCCAAGCTGATACCACCTCTGCAGGAGACTCCAGAAAAAAAATGCATGTAAATTTAATGTGTGAAATTTAGAAGTGATTACCAAAAGAAAAATTCAATAGCAGACCACAGCTGTAGAATAGGTTGGTGATTTAGAATAAAATCAAGACAATCTCCAAAACATAAAGCAAAAAGACAAAAAATACACACAGGCAGCTGAAAAGATGTAGAAGACAGTTCTAGCAAGTCCCACTGCGTTCTAACTGAAGTACCAGGAAACCACAGGAAAGCAACCCAAGGAATGTAAGAGCTCGATCCTGGCTGAAGCAGATGGGGCTCAGATGGAGTGAGGCCACAGTGTCCAAGAGGCTCCAGGAAGAGACCCACCCACGAACGCATCCTTGTGCAATTCATCAACTCGGAAGATAAAGACATCATAAAAGGAACAAGAGTCAGCCTGGTGTGAAATTTCCTATCAGCTGCTCTGGATTCTAGAGAACAACGGAGCAAGGCCTTCGAGGTTTTCAGGAAAACTTCTCTGAACCTACAATTCTACACTCTGCTCAGCTATCAATCACTGAGGGCAAAATATCTTATAAAATGAGATGATCTAAAGTTTACTCTCTGCCTTATATAAAAATCCAGAATGTATTACATATAAGTAGGGCAAGGGAAGTTATCCAAGAAAGAGCAAAAGGAATATAAACAGTAGTGGTTAAGTCCCAGAAAAAAAAACATGAGGGGCCAGCCAGTGGCACAGTGGTTAAGTTCGCACGTTCTGCTTCTGGGCGGTCCAGGATTCACCAGTTCAGATCCCGGGTGCGGACACGGCACCGCTTGGCAAAAGCCATGCTGTGGCAGGCCTCCCACATATAAAGTAGAGGAAGATGGGCATGGATGTTAGCTCAGGGCCAGTCTTCCTCAGCAAAAAGAGGAGGATTGGCAGTAGTTAGCTCAGGGCTGATCTTCCTTAAAAAAAAAAAAACAAGTGTGTCTGATCACTGCATTTGCAACATTCACTTTTAACTACTAACGGTTTGGTAACATGGGATTTCCATTTCCTTCTCTACAGCCCTGATCTAGTTACTAGATTCTGCACTAGATTAAACTTAGGTAACCACAATAGTTCATTCATTGTCCCACCCTCATTTCATTTCTTTTCCTCTTACTTCAAACCTCCAACACCTACCTACTACCTACGCCCCCCTCAGTGACGACCGTGATCCATTTCTCAGAGTAACAGGAAACAATCAAGAGGACTTCTACTTGTCTCTGGCCCTATCCTGGGCATTTCCTCCAGCTATTCTGAATGAACTGCTCCCAAGGCCAACGCCTCCACGCGGAGACCAGAACCAGAAGCCCTCCCTCGAGGTTGACTCACTCACACACTTGGAGCCATCCTCACCTCTCTCTACTGCATCAGGGCTCTCTCCTCTGGATCATTCCCACCTGCTGTGTTCAAACATGCTGTTTTTTTAGCCATCTTAACAAAAAACAAAACTCTCTGACCACACTTAGTCCTCCAACTACTGTGTCATTTCTTTCCTTTCCTTTACAGCTAAACTCCACAAAAGCAAAATCTCTTACTACTAAGCCCTTGCGCTCCTTCTCCCCAGGCTCCTGACGCCACTCCAGTCAGGCCATCCTCCTTGGCAGTCGACTGACACGACTCTCATCCAGACCACGCTCCTACTTCCAGAGTTCCTTTCTAGGCCTCATCTCACCCCCAGGAGCATCTGACACAGCTGTTTACTTCCATCTCCTTTAAAGATGGGCTGACCACACTCACCGGTCTTCCTCTAACGTCAACCGTCACTCTTCCGTCTCTGCCAGTCCCTCATCTACACCACTTCACGCGAGCGCCGGGGGCTCAGTCCTTGAACCTTTTCATCTCTATCTGTATCAACTCCCTTGGTGTTATTATCTCATGCGGCCTTTGGAACCCTTTTCTGCGGAAAGATCCCAAATTTACATTTCTAACTTCTTCTCTGAACTCCAGACTCACATATTCAACTGCCCACTTGAGATCTCCAACTGAATGTGTCACAGACATCTCAGAGTTAACGTATCTAACTCAGCTCCTCCTACAGTGCCCTCATCTCAGTTAATAGCAACTCCATGCACCAAGGTGGTTAAGCCAAAAAGCCTAGTGTTATTCCTTGATTGTTCCTCACACCTCACATCTAGTTTGTCCAATAATCCTGCAGATTAGACTCAATTTATGGCTCATGGGAGACAATTATGGTAATAGACCTTGGCTTTAGGAAATTAATAAGATGGCCAGCAAAAATTTGAAGGTGCAAAAGAGACAGGAAAAACTGTAAATACACCGAAATTACTCATTCACAGCTTAAAGAAAATTTATACTGTCTCAAGTTAAGTAAATCAAGATATAATCATTTAAAAATGCCAAAAGGCATTTAACTAACCACAATATGAAATGATAGCTTTCACTGGGGAATGAAACTAAGGGGAGGAGAAGAGACTTTTTCATGTTTTATCTTTCTATGCTATTTTTTACTGTACACACGTTACATCTGTAAGACCTACAGCACAACATGACAGACAGACTGATCTCCCAAGGGAAGATCTTACATAATCATTTGATAAGACTATTTTGGTGAAAGTGATTAGCAAAACTCTGAATGAAAACTGGTTCTACCTCTTGTACAAAAACGTAAGATAAACCTGGATGGCTGATTATGAAGTTTACAGTGGAGGTTTTCAGATGTTCTAGCATCACAATGGAACACAGAGGAGAAAAATTCTTCATCAACCAACATCTGTCATCTGTAAAGAAAAATAAACTACCTTAGAAATAACAACTCCGTTAAATTCTATGCCCTTTAGGACTACCATCTCCTTGGCTAAGTTGCAAACTTTTTGAGAGTAGGAATTATGTTTGAGAGCCTTTTTCAGGAGGCCATACTGCATAACAGGAACACACCAGGATGGAGAAATGAATCCAGGTTTGCTACACACTAGCTGTGTGGCCCTGGGCAACTTTTCTCATCTGTAAAATGGTGAAAATAGTAGTTTCAATCTTGTGTGTGTTTAAACAAACATAGTAAAGTGTGCAACATCTACGTTGTAGTAAGCATCTAAAAATTATAAGCCTTATTAGAGTGAGCTCTCGGTCAGTTACCCAGTTCTTTTCATTACCCTTGTTAAGATGAGGTTTGAGCAAAGTTCGGGCTTCCCTTTTCATCTCTTTCTTGTTTTTCTCAGACACTGAGTAATGAACTGCAGTGATAGCCAGGCGAGTGTGGGTATAGGTAGAGAAGACATCTTGGGCAGGCTGGCCTTGGCTGATGGTGAAACCGAACACCTGCACCTGGCCATAGAGGCAGGTCACACGACAGATCCCGCTAAACGTAAAACCCTAGAAGGGAGAGAAAAAAGAAAGAAAGAATGTTACAGATTCTGTTACTAATGACTGAAATTTTCTAAAATCTTAATCACTACTCAGTTATGAAAAGATGGCTGGTTTCTAACTAACAGAATACATTGTACTAGGTGACCATCAGGTGCTTGATGTTTTTAACCTAGGATCTATTGCATGACAGCTACGGAAACAGAACACTGACACATGAAGAACAGGCGGGTCCCATGACCTGGGCTCTGCTGTTCTCAGGACTCCCGGTCCTTCCCAAGTCTCTCCTATCCCTGGTTTTCACTCGCCTCCTGCATTGGAGGGGGACCTCCCAGTCCGAGTGAAGAGCAGGAGCCGTGCAACCAGGCTGCCTGGGTTTGAATTCCAGCTCTGCCTGACCTAAGCTATATCTCAGTTTCTTCGTCTATAAACATTCACAGCAACGACGGTATAGACGCCACAGACGCTGGCAGTATTAAACGGGTTCGTAAACCTAAAACACTTACAACCTGACATTTCTAAGCCCCCAGTAAACGAGACTTAATGTTATTACTACTAAAGGACCTTTCAGCTCTGAAGGCCTAGAAATCCCCTCAGCAGGGTCCTTGTTATCCTCGGCTCAGCATCCCCGACACGAGGAATGCGCCCAACTTGCGACCAGAGAACCGGCAGAAGGGACCACGGTCTTCCCCTAGCCTGCACCTCCCTTTGCCCACCGGGCCCCATACCACCCACCTGCTCGAGCGGCAGCAGCACCAGCGCGCGGCCCGGGCCGGCCGGCCGCACCGGCGGGATGGGGAGAGTCGCGAGGTAACTCGAGTCGGGGTCAGCTGCCGGGGCCGGGCTGGGGGTCGGGCTGGAGGCCGGGCTGGGGGCGGCGGTCTTGGGCCTCCGGGCCGCCGCTGCGCGCGACGCCAGGCAGCCGTCCTCCCGCCAGTCCGCGCCGGCCGCCTGGGTCTGCAGCAGCCGCCGCCGCAGACGCCTTCGGCCGCACCAGCGCAGGGCCCCGAGCCGGCGGCGGGGCCGACGGCTAAGAATGAGCTGGGGCCGTGCCTTGCGGGCTCGCAGCCACGTGGAGCGGGAGGGACCCCGCCGGGGAAGCAGCGGCGAATCCGCCATGCTGGTCGCCGGCGCCTGTCGCGCGAGAATCTCGCGAGATCCCGTCGCTCCGCCCCGCGGCCCGTCGAGCGGCCAAAAGGGAGCGGCCTGGGAGCTGCGGGCGCCCTCTGTCGGCGACCCCGGCAGCGCACCTGGGCCTTGGCTGGCCCCTCGGAGGCTCCAGCCCGCCAGGGGGCGCTCTGGGGGTGGTCGCCTCGGCGCCACCCCGCCGGCCGTCCCACTTAGGGTCACATTTACATTATGCAAAAGCCCCACTCCGGCCACCTCGAGAGGGAAAACCAGGTACCCGACCCGACAGCAGTGCCACCTCTCCGGAAATCCACCTGGTATTTTTCTTTCCTGCAGAAAAAGCTCTAGGATTGGCCGTTTAAACAAAACCGGTCTATTTGCGTACCATCTGTTTGCATGCATTTGTCTTTGGGCTGAAGGTAAACTAACGATGATTCACTCAGAATTTCAGTGTCAGAAAACTGAGGACTAGGGGGGAGATCAATTCAAAGCCAGGTCTCATTCGGTAAACTGAGGCCCAGGTAAAAGATTCTAAAACCCACAGCTCCCTGATAGCAACCCTCCACACCCTGTCCCTCAGGGACCCCAGAGCAGCTGTGTCCCTGCCTTCCTATGACCCCCCCCAAAATGCCAGGGCTCCCTTCCTGAGCCAGGTGAAGCTACCGGCACCAGAGCAAGGACAGAACCCACAACCGTGCAGAGGAAGGGTCAGTGGGTTCTGCCCCGTTTGCATCCATGCCTTGACGCTGCCCAGTTCCTGAGCAGGACTGCCAGCCCGGAAGGCCAAGGCAAACAGCCCAGTTCCTACAACTGGGCTCCGGTCCCACCCCTTTCATGGGCATGAAGTTGGGAAGCATCTGGGCAGCTGCCGTCTATTCTATTTAAACAGCCTGACCTGGTCAGAGGGCGCCGCTTGGCCGTGCCCGGCACAGGACCGTCTGGCCAGCATGTTACTCCAGGCGGCTCGCCTGGTGGGCCTGCAGCTCTCCCTTTCCCTTTCCTGCTGCTGGGCTTTCAGTTGCCACAGCACAGAGTCCTCTCCGGACTTCAGCCTCCCTGGGGATTACCTCCTTGCAGGCCTGTTCCCTATCCACAGTGACTATCTGGAGGTGAGAAGCAGACCCATGGTGACCCTCTGTGACAGGTGAGTGAGGGGTCAGCAGAGCTGTCACTTAGTGGGACTTGTGCCTAAGAGACCTCTGCCTGCCCTCCTCAGCTAGGACCTTGCCCTTTCTGCCTCTGGGGTTGCCACTTGAACTGCCTCCAATCCCTCCCCAACCCACGGGCGCCACCTTCCAGTCCTGGTGCTTCTGCCCAGATTCCACTTTGTAATACAGTCTTTTGTCCTGGCTGTTAGAGTGCGTTAAGGGAGGGCTTTCCTCTCCTCCGTCTCCTCCTCACTCCTCCCCAAGTTCAAGCTCCTTAGTCTCCCAGATGGCAGATGTGGTTCTCTATGGGGAAGGAAGGGGAGACACATAGCAAGTAGATGCTTCAGGAGCTTTGCAAAGATCGATCAGGTCGGTGCCTTATGAAGCCAACAGTCCAGGTAGCGAAAGACAACTGCTTTTCTTGTAAAGAAGATAGTTGCTTGCTGTCTGTGCAAGTCACAGATATGAGAGGCTCAAGGATGTATCAGGGCTCAATGGCAGGATGCCCTAAACATGAAGCACACTTGACAGCCAGCCCAGGAGGAAGGTCTGGAAAGCCTGGTGCGTGAGGACTGGCCCAAAGAGGCCAGATGGGAACCTGGGAAGAGAAGACTTGTGGGAGAAGGGGACCTGAAAACTGGCTTCAGGTAATGAAGGGCTGCCACAGGCAGGAGGCCCTGAGCCTCCTCTGAGTGTGACTCAAGGACAGAGTGATAGAAATGATGCAAGAGCCTTCTAACAAGAAGAAAGGCTGGAAAGTGGAACGGGTTAGCACGTTCTTCAGGCAAGGCTGAATCACATCGCTGGCGTGCCCCTGCTGGGGTCCAGACAGCAGTTCCCAAAGTAGGCAATGTGGAACACAGGCCCTCACTGCAGTCACGGGTGTCCTGGTGAGACGCTCTAAGCAAGGTTAAGCAGGTGTGGTGCTTAATTTTATGTGTCAGCTTAGCTAGGCTATGGTGCCCAGTTGTTTACTCAAACACCAGTGTGCTGCGAAGTTATTTTTAGATACGGTTAACATTTAAAGATTTTATTTTTTTCCTTTTTCTCCCCAAAGCCCCCCGGTACATAGTTATATATTCTTCGTTGTGGGTCCTTCTAGTTGTGGCATGTGGGGCACTGCCTCAGCGTGGCTTGATGAGCTGTGCCATGTCCGCGCCCAGGATTTGAACCAACGAAACACTGGGCCGCCTGAAGCAGAGCGTGCGAACTTAACCACTCGGCCATGGGGCCAGCCCCTAGATATGGTTCACATTTAAATCAGTAGACTGAGTAGAGCAGATTGCCCTCCATAATCTGGGTGGGCCTCATCCAATCAGTTGAAGACCTTAAGAGAAAAGATTGAGGTCCTCAGAAAAGGAAGGAATTCTGCCTTCAGACTCAAGACTGCAACATAAACTCTTGTGGAAATTTTCAGCCTGCCCTGTAAATTTCAGACTTGCCAGCCCCCAGAATCACATGAGCCAATTCCTTAAACTAAACCTCTCTCTCTCTTTCTCTCTCTCCCTCTCTTTCCATATCCTATTGGTTCTGTTACTCTGGAGAATACTGACTAATATAGCAGGTTTCTCTGCTGTAGGGCTTGCGAGACTTTCAAGGCTAATATGTTTATGGAACAGGGTTGGGTCAAGGAATGTGCATTTCTTCAATTTGTTCCCCACCTTCCCAAAGCCCTGTTAACAGAACTGTGTGTGTGCTACAGGGCCCATGTTGAGGTCATGGTTGTAGATGACCTCAGAGGTTCCTTTCTACCGCCCAAGCCTGGAGTTCTGGGAGGCCAGAGGTTCTCAGCAGGGCTTGGCTCTCACTACAGGTCCAACAGTTTCAACAGCCATGGCTACCATCTCTTCCAAGCCATGCGGTTCAGCATCGAGGAGATAAACAACTCCACAGCCCTGCTGCCCAATGTCACCCTGGGGTATGAGCTGTATGACGTGTGCTCGGAGTCAGCCAGCGTGTACGCCATGCTGAGAATACTGAGCGTGCCCGGGACGCACCACATAGAGATCCAAGGAGACACTTCCCGTTATTCTCCCACGGCCGTGGCTGTGATTGGGCCCTCCTCCACCAACCATGCCACCGCCGCCGCCAGCATGCTGAGCCCCTTCCTGGTGCCCCTGGTAAGCTGGAGCCCCAGCAGTTTGCCCATCTCCCCTCCTGGCAAGGCCAGCATGGGCTGGGGTGAGTGGGCAGGAGCTGCTGCACCCCAAGGCCAGTCTTGCCCCTGGGATCTCCTGGGTGGTCACTGCTCATTACTCACATGGCAGAGGTCCCTGCCCATCGTGATTCCTGCCCCAGCGTCTGTCTCTCTCCAAGTGCTGCTTCCAGGTCTCCCTGCCTCAACGCTCATGGGAAAACCCATTCTCCTCTGAAACTTCTGCCTTTCACTCTCCTCCCACTGTTCCATCTCCTTGTGAAGAACTGAACACTCTTCGCTTCCCACCACCTCTCCCCTTCGCTTCCCACCACCTCTCCCCTGCGCTCCTCCTTCCCTCCCTCCTTCCAGGCTCAGGCTCCGAGGAGTGGCGCCCCTCACTGTGCTATCCCTCTGGGCTCGCGCCCTCTTCTGCTTGTCAGCCTCTCCCAGCCTCCCTCCTCAGCCTCTAAGCTGCCTTACCCCTCTCCCCCTGCCAGGCCCGTCTGCTCCCAGCACTGCACTCTCTGACCCTCCATCGAGACTTCTCCACAGAGGTCTCTATTCTTGTTTGCTTCTCCCTCTTTTCATTTGCTCCTCAACCCACTGCCCCGGATTCTGCCTCACCGCTCTTGTTCTCACCTGGATCTGGAGGGCCTTCTGGGTCTCCAAATCCCACGAATGCTTTTCAGCCCTCTTTACCTTGCATGACCACTTTGTCACATTTCTGGCCAGTTCCTCCGGGACACTTTTCCTTGTCACTTATGAACCCCCTGCACTGTGGCACCTCTTTCTCAGTCTCCTCTAGAGATTTCTCTTCCCCACCTCCTCTGAGAAGGCAGGTGATTCCCCCAGTGAGAGCTCTCCCGTTCCCAGGCGGCCACCAGCCCCAGGGCTGAACTTCCCCTCTCTAGCTTCATCCTGACTTCTGAGCACCGTGTCCCATTTCCAGATGCTCACCCAGTGTGTCCACTTCATGGACACAGCAGGCCCCAACTGAACTTACCTCCCTACACTACCAAAGCCTCTGTTCTTCCTGCATCCCCAGCCCAGCCCAGCAGCTGAGTGACCATCTCTACCTTCATTCCTCCTGCCCCTGCCCCTGTGTTTAGCCGACACCACGGCCTCTGCTTTGACCTTCTAAAAGCTGCCAGGTCCATCCCCTCTTCTACATTGCCACTGCCACAGCTTTAACTCCGACCACCATCATCTCTTGTCTAGATGATTCATCAGCCTCCTAGGGGTTCTCCCTGACTCTGGTCTTGAGCCTTTTCTAACATGTTCCTCAGTGAAATCAGAGATATACTCCTAAAACACAAGTCCGAACACATCTGTTCTCTGCCTGAACCCTGAGGGGCTCCCCATGGCCTGTGGGTAAAGACCAAGCCCCTTAGCATGGGAGTTCAGGCCTCCTGCCCTGAGTTCTTGTTCCTGGCATCCGGCCTCCAACCAAATGGGAGTGCATGTAGGATCCCGAGCACACGACACCATTTCACTCCCTGCAGCCAGGTTTTGTCCTCTTTGTCCACTAGGCAGATTCCCATTCCTCTCCCAGAAGCCTTGCCTCGGGGCCTGCCCTCTTCTCCATATGTAACTTGTCAGTCTCATGTCAAGTATTGCTCTCCTTGAGAACCAGGGCCAGGGCCTTGTCTCTGTCCTCCCTGGGTTCCTGTGCCCAGCACAGGGCCGGCACCGTGGGGACCCTCAGTCGAGGCTGCTGCCACTGACCTCGCTGAACTGAACCCCCACAGATCAGCTACAAGCCCAGCAGCGAGACGCTTGGCGTGAAGCGGCAGTACCCTTCTTTTCTGCACACCATCCCCAGTGATAAGTACCAGGTGGAGATCATGGTACTGCTGCTGCAGAGTTTTGGGTGGGTCTGGATCTCGTTGGTGGGCAGCGACGACGAGTACGGGCAGCTGGGGGTGCAGGCGCTGGAGAACCAGGGCACCCAGCAGGGCATCTGCATCGCCTTCAAGGGCATTGTGCCCTCCTCTGCTCGGCCAGGCGATGACAGCATGTGGAACATGATGAGCCGCCTGGACTGGGCGAGGACCACCGTCGTGGTCGTCTTCTCCAGCAGGCAGCCGGCCAGGGTGTTCTTTGAGTCTGTGGTGCTGGCCAACCTGACTGCCAAGGTGTGGATTGCCTCAGAAGACTGGGCCATCTCCACACACCTGAGCAGCGTGCCCGGGATCTGGGGCATCGGCACAGTGCTGGGCGTGGCCATCCAGCAGAGGACTGTCCCTGGCCTGAAGGAGTTTGAAGAGGCCTATGTCCGGGCAGACAAGGGGATCCAGGGGCCTTGCCCCAGGGGCTCTTGGTGCAGCAGCAACCAGCTCTGCAGAGAGTGCCAGGCGTTCACGGCACAGGAGATGCCCACGTTCGGAGCATTCGCCATGAGCAACTCGTACAACGTATACCGGGCTGTCTATGCCGTGGCCCATGGCCTCCACCAGCTCCTGGGCTGCACCTCAGGAGCCTGTTCCAGGGGCCAAGTCTACCCTGGGCAGGTAAGGCAGCCCAGCTCCTGGTACCCCAAGTGAGGGTGCTTTCCTGAGGCAAGCAGAGAGGCCACTCTCTGGCCACCGTAAGTGCTGGAGGTCGGGGGCAAAGGCCACCAACTAGAGGGCTGATCCCTTCTCTTAGGCTTCTCTTCCCTGAACCTTGGCTCCTGCCACCCACCATGCCTTGGGTCCATGGCTAAAAATCGCTGTAAATTCAGAAGACTGGTTGTGAAGGTCAAGGGGCCTTCTAGGAGGGAAGGGGGCTCTGAGGAAGGGACTAGAACTTCCAGATGGGCTGAAACCACCCAGATAGAAGCCCATCAAGGCCCCAGGTACTTGTTTCCTGGGCTGTCCAGGTCTGGAGGGTCGAGGAAGAGCAGCCTATGTCGTCTATGGTGGCTCCATGATCTCTGTTTGTTTCAGCTTCTGGAGCAGATCCACAAGGTGAATTTCCTTCTACACGAGGACGTTGTGACATTTAATGACAACGGGGACCCCCTCAGCAGCTATGACATAATTGCCTGGGACTGGAGTGGCCCCAAGTGGACCTTCCAGGTCATTGGCTCCTCCAGATGGTCTCCAGTTAGGCTTGACATAAATAAGACCAAAATCCAGTGGCATGGAAAGGACAACCAGGTAATGGGGATGTGGTTACTAACCAGGTGACAGCCTTATGGGCAGCCTGGATCCTGGGGTTGATGCTGACGCAGCTTACACAGGGCAGGAGTGGGGCTTTCAGGTACCAGGCTGCTCTGGCTCTCCCCAGCCCTGCCAGGGAAGCTCGACTGGCTAGCAGGCCCCATTGCTGCTGATTCATCCAACCAGGGGCTCTGCCCTGGGAGTGAACCAGCAGGGCAGAGGGACAGAGATTCTGTTTTCCATTCTGCATGTGAACGTCCCTTGACTTGGGCTCCTCCATGTGGTTGCAGAGCACCTGTGGCTTCTTGCAGGTGCCGACATCTGTGTGCTCCAGCAACTGCCTTGAAGGGCATGCACAAGTGATTGTGGGTGTCCACCACTGTTGCTTCGAGTGTGTGCCCTGTGAGGCTGGGACCTTCCTCAACAAGAGTGGTGAGTGGCGAAGCAAATGGGCACACGACCTGGAGCTCCTGGGGTCTGTACAGATGAAAGGACTGCCCTTGGGCCACACATGTGCAGAACCAGGGCCCTGATCACTTTGTTGCCAGTTAGGTGCAGGTTGGAAGATACCTGCCACCAGTCTGAATTCTGACAAAGCAGAAAGAAACAACCAGTTGAAAGCCTCAGACCTAGCTGTGTCCTTTATTAGAGAGCTCTAAACCCAACTTCTACAGATGCAGTCTTATCCTAAATTCAACCTCTTTATCCAAACAGATGTAGCTATCATTCCCTTTGTACCCTCCCATGCTGTCTGTATGAAGTCCCTCTATTGTCCATGCCAAAGACAGCCAGCACCTTGGAGAGCTTGGCCTGAATGCAGATAGAAGCATGTCTGTAGCAGGAAAAACAGCGTACTCTACCCAGTGGTGCCAGGTCAAGATCAGAGAGCAAATTAAGTAGTTAAGGGCTCAGTCCAGAGCTGTACACCAGGGGCCGCATCCTTTCCTTTTACTGTCTCTGTGGGCATGGGAATGCATCTCTTCTGTCCTCAGAGAGTCAAGACTCAGAGAAACCACAGAGTGGCAGCTCAGGAAGGTGGGTTTTGCTAGTGGAAGTGCTGGGGAGAGAGATGGAAATGCCCTTCCTTTGGGGCTGGCTGGTCCCATTGAATCACAGCCTCACTGACATGTGGGCAGAGCTATCAGAGTAAGGCCCTCCCTAGGGACCTCTTGGTTTGCAAACCCCTTCTGGGATCATGAGCCATACAGACCCTACCTGTGTATCTCCAGAATCTGTAATTAACACAGGCATCTTTAGGAAACATGTGGCCTTGGGGCCCCACTCAGGGCTATACCCATGTCGCTGTGCCCAGCAGAGCCCAGCTGCTGTGGTATAGCCCTCCCAGCATCTTGCAGGCCTGCATGGCCTCCCTTTCCTTTCCTGCTCTACTCACTTGGATCTCAGGAGCTCTCTCCACCTTCCTTCCCAGACCCGCACAGATGCCAGCCTTGTGGGAAAGAAGAGTGGGCACCTAAGAGAAGCCAGACCTGCTTCCCACGCACCGTGGTGTTTTTGGCTTGGCATGAGCCTGTCTCTTGGGTGCTGCTGGCAGCTAATACACTGCTGCTGCTGGTGGTGGTTGGGACTGCTGGCCTGTTTGCCTGGCACCTAGAGACCCCTGTGGTGAGGTCAGCTGGGGGCAAGCTGTGCTTCCTCATGCTGGGTTCCCTGGCAGTGGGCAGCTGTGGCCTCTATGGCTTCTTAGGGAAGCCCACACTAATCATGTGCTTGCTACGTCAGACTCTCTTTGCCCTCGGTCTTGCCATCTTCCTATCCTGCCTGACAATCCGCTCCTTCCAACTGGTCTTCATCTTCAAGTTTTCTGCCAAGCTACCCATATTCTACCGTGCCTGGGTCCAACACCATGGTGCTGGCCTGTTTGTGGTGATCAGCTCAACAGCCCAGCTTCTTATCTGCCTAACTTGGCTTGCAGTGTGGACCCCACTGCCCACCAGGGAATACCAGCGCTTCCCTCAGTTGGTGATGCTTGACTGCACAGAGGCCAAGTCACTGGGCTTCGTGCTGGCTTTCATCTACAATAGCCTCCTCTCGGTCAGCACCTTTGCCTGCAGCTACCTAGGCAAGGACCTGCCAGAGAACTACAACGAGGCCAAATGTGTCACCTTCAGCCTGCTCCTCAACTTCGTGTCCTGGATCGCCTTCTTCACCACTGCCAGCGTCTACCAGGGCAAGTACCTGCCGGCTGTCACCATGCTGGCCGCGCTGAGCTGCCTGAGCGGCGGCTTCAGCGGTTATTTCCTGCCCAAGTGCTATGTGATCCTCTGCCGCCCAGATCTCAACAGCACGGCGTACTTCCAGGCTTCCATCCAGGAGTACACCAGGCGCTGCAGCTCCACTTGACCGCGGGGTCGGGCAGGCCAAGCCAGGGCGGGGCGCACTGGAAGCCTTCCCTGCCCTGAGGATCGAAGGTGGAGCGGGGCGTGCAGAGTCTGGGGTCTCCGAGAGGTCTCTGGGCTCCTCAGTTTTGGCTGGGGAAGTGTAAGCCCACGAGCCTACCAATAAAGAGGTGAAATGTACGTCTGCGTCTTGGCTGCGCTTCCTGTGCAGGAGATGGGGGGGCGCGCCGCGGCCGACAAACCGCAGCCGGAACCTCGGGACTCGGCCAGAGCCGGGTGGAGGCCGGGCGCCCAGCTTGGCGTTGCTAGGCAACTCTGGGAGGCGGGTCCGGCGGCCAGAGAACCGGCGTGGCCACGCCCCATTAGGCATCCCATTGGCCGTTCTCTGCGTGGTCCCGTCCCCTGGGGCCGGAGCTAGAAGTCCTGCGCCTCCGAGGCGCTCCACCCCGGCCGGCGCGCCCTGACGTCATGTCCGGCGGCGGCGACGGCGCCGTCTCCGTACGGCCGACCGGGCACGTACGGCCTGGGCAGTTGGTCCGTGGGGCTGTGGAGGCAACGCTTCCTGCTCCCGGTGCGGTCGGCGTAAGGAGGACTGGCCTGGGTGAGGAGGTGAGGGGGCGCGGGGCGAGGGAGGTAGGCGCTGCGGGCCGACAAGGCCGCCTTCCACCCGGCCGCTCGGGACATGTGGGCGCGGCGGGGGTTCCGCTCACCTCTCCCCAGCTGCCGCCCTCCGCTGGCCGGGGTCTCTAGCTGTGCCAAGCCGACCAGTTCGCGCTGATCCCTGACTCTTTTTCCCAACTTTGATTGTTCCCACTAGCACCTCTTCACGACCTCGGCAGGCCGTGCCTCCTCCCCCTACCAGGTCCGCCTGCGCCCCCACCACTCGCTCTTTCTGGCCAACACCAATGAGGGCTGCTGCCCTGGCCACCCCCCGCTCCCCCAGAAGCTTTCAGTCCATTCCTGTCTCAGCATGCGTCCTCTAACCTTGATCCAAGCCCTTGTGATCAATGTGACTGAGTAGAGTCCACCTCCCCTTTCCCTCTTCTCGAATCCAGAGGCTTTCTCTTGCTACCCCCTCGGTTGGGCTGGCCAGGCTGTCACTTTTGCCTTCCTCCTCCAGGCAGACCATGGATGGCTCCTTTGTCCAGCATAGTGTGAGGGTTCTGCAGGAGCTCAACAAGCAGCGGGAGAAGGGCCAGTACTGCGACGCCACCCTGGACGTGGGGGGCCTGGTGTTCAAGGCGCACTGGAGTGTTCTTGCCTGCTGCAGCCACTTCTTCCAGAGCCTCTATGGGGATGGCTCAGGGGGTAGTGTTGTCCTCCCTGCTGGCTTCGCTGAGATCTTTGGCCTTCTGTTGGACTTTTTCTACACTGGTCACCTCGCCCTCACCTCGGGGAACCGGGATCAGGTGCTCCTGGCAGCCAGGGAGTTGCGAGTGCCAGATGCTGTGGAGCTGTGCCAGAGCTTCAAGCCCAAAACTTCAGTGGGACAGGCACCAAGTGGCCAGAGTGGCTTGGGGAAACCTGCCGCCCGGGATGTGAACAGCCACCTCAAGGAGCCAGCAGGCTTGGAAGAAGAGGAAGTTTTGAGGACTCTAGGTCAAATCCCCAGGGATCAGGAGCTCAGTGGCAGTCACAGTCCCCAGAAGCCCCAGCTTGGTGTCCCTGCTGAGAGTGAGAGTCCCTCCTTTCTCCGTGGGAAACTCAAGCAGGCCCTGAAGCTTTGTTCCCCAGAGGACAAGGAGCCTGAGGACTGCAAAGTGCCCCCAAGGCCCTTTGAGGCTGAAGGTGCCCAGCTGCAGGGCCGGAGTGATGAGGTACTGTGCCCAGGGGGCTGGAAAAGGGGAGGCAGGAGTTGGGGGAAGAGACTGTTTTTCCAGGGTAATCTGGACCCCAAGGTAGAATCTCTGATATGTGGGTTTGGAACAGATTTTCTCCAAACATAGGAAGCTGGCTCCATCCTGCAGCCTCTGGCTGACCTTCCTGGGAGCCACAGCTGTCCATGATTCCCAGCCTCTTGGGGTGGAGTGTATGGCATCAGGGTTACAGGTGTTTCACCAGGGTAGTGACATCCAGTCAAACTTCCAGTTTCTCACAGACAGAGCCACTGCTCTCCAAATCCAAGATTCAAATGCTGCCTGCTCTGGGGCCCTGAAGGAACAGTCACGGATGAAGGGACTTGTGTGGGGATGTTCTCGGGTTGGGCCTTGGGGTGGAACTGGCAGCCCTGTAGATCCACCCCTAGAACCCCTGCTGATTCATGTAGTGACCTCGTGCCCTCCTGCCTCCTTTTCTGCTCTAGTGGGAAGTGGTGGTTCAAGTTGAGGACGACGGGGATGGCGCTTACGTTTCTGAGACTGAGATTGTGCCGACCAGGAGGAAATCAAACGTAATCAGAAAGCCCTGTGCTGCCGAGCCAGCCCTGAGCGCAGGTTCCCTAGCAGCCGAGGCCTCTGAGAGCAGAAAAGGTACAGCCGTGCCGGTTGAGTGTCCCACATGCCATAAAAAGTTCCTCAGCAAATATTATCTAAAAGTCCACAACAGGTAAACGTTCTGTTTTTCTATTTTCTTTTCCCCTCTGCCATCTCCATGTTGGGGAGGTGGCCTGCCCTCCCCATTCCTGGGCCATGTAGGGGTTGGGGGCCCCATCTCAAGACTCCTGTAGTCCCTGGCATTAGCAAGCCTCTGATCATCAGGGAGTGAGAACCTAGCCTTGGGTCGGATTCCTTCTTCCTCCTACTGTGAGCCCTCTGGTGGGTTTGTGGACAGCTTGTCGACAGGTTCCACCCCTGGTGGACCTTGACCTCCAGCTGGCTTCTGCAGAGAGGGTGAGAGAAGCCTGTGGCCCTGTGCTATCGCTGAGGCCTGACCTTCGGTATTTCTAAAGCCTGGCAGTGTGGGCTTTGGGCCAAGATGTCAATCTGTAGGGTTGGTGCCGCCTGTGTTCCTGGAGAAATGTTAGCTCTGGGGTGTAAGTGGAGCTTAAGAGACCATTTGTCTAAAGCTGCTGTGTCCAATAAAGTAACCCGTTGCCACATGAAGCTATTTTAATGTAAAGTAAAAGTAATTAAAATGAAATAAATTCAGTTCCTCAGATGCATTAGCTACATTCCAAGTGCTCAGTAGCTACATGTAGTCCCTGGCTGCTGAATCGGACAGCGCAGACAGAACATCTCCATCATCACAGAGAGTTCTCTTGGACAGCACTGCTCCAGAGTCTCTGCAAGGCCTCAAGGGATGGCAGCTGAGTGACATGCCTTCCAGTCCTGTCACTCCCTAGCCCAAGACATCACTAGTCTGCCATGGTGCTATTTCTTGCCAAGCCAGGTTGGGCCACACATGTTTTCTCAGTATGGCACTCTGGGAAGCCACTAGTGACCGACTGGAGTTGGAGCTGGGGGGGAAGCTGTTTGCTCTTCCTGCTTTGGGACAGCTGCCAACAGTGCAGTCTTTGGGGCACTCCCAGTGTGGGAAGTACCCTGGGGTGTCCAGGTCTGCCTGGACACTCCCCCACTGTAAGACTCTAGTCCAGGCACCATCCGCATTCCTACCTTCGGCTGCAGGCTGCTGGACTGGCCCTGAGAATGGGGCTGGGGGCGGGGGGAGGACACAGGGATGGGGACATGGCCTCATGAGGTCATTGGGTTGGGGGATGAGGATAGTTGATGTTGGGGCAGAGGAAGAGAGAAGCATCTGGGCTCTGAGGTCAGGGTTCATTTGGTTTTTTCATTCAATGAGCTGTCTGCCAGGTAGCTGACAAGACTATTCTGGGTGCTTAGGATACCTTAGTGAACAAAACAGGCCTTGTAGGGCTTGTCTTCCAGCAGGGTGGTACAGACTGTGAACTAACAGATAAGTAACTTTATAGTGTGATGGAAAGTGCCATGGAAGAGGAAGGTGGGAAGTGCCACAGAAAAAAGAAAAAGGACAGCAGGGCAAAGGGTTGGGGAGTTCAGTGTGGGGTCAGGCTGCAATTTTAAAGAAAAGAGATTTGAGCAGACTCAAAGGAGGTGAGGAAGTTCACCAAGTGGATGAGTGGGAGAGTGTTCTGGGCCGAGAGAAGAGCCAGAGTAGAGGCTCTGGGGTGGGAGTGAGCCGGCAGGTTGGTGAACAGCAAGCAGGGAGGTAAGGGGCAGGCCAGCTATACCTTCGTAGCCCCCAGGCCTTTTCTCAGGTGAAATGGGAAGCCTGGAGGGTTGTGAGCAAAGAGGTGATGAGGTCCGACTCTATTTAAGGGCCCCTCTGGCTACTGAAGTTAAAACCTGTCAGGAGGCAGGTGTGGAGCCTGAGACCCATGTGGAGGCTCAGGCAGAGCTTGGGGGTTGGTGTGGCTGCGCTAGGTGTTAGTGTGGAGATAGGTGAAGTGAGCAGATTCTGGCCACGGTGTGGAAGGTGGAGCCCGCAGAAGTTCTGGGCAGACTGAGTGGTTTCTCCAGGGAGTCAGAACTGGGGGATTGTTTCTGCCTTCAGAGAGAAGCCAGCTGGCAGGGCTCTGGAGCAGCCCTTGGGCATGCAGCTGTGTGGGCTCCAGTCCCGGCAGTCTCCCTTGCAGTCTCCACATTGGAGGAGGGTAGCTCTGGGTTCACCCCTGTAGGTTCCCCAGCTGGGTCTGACCAAGTCACGTGGTGAGCCATGGCTGGCCTCAGGACCGCTCTTCCTTTCTGCTGTGGAGCACAGCACTGTGAGCACCCCCCTGGGAGCAGGGGAGCCAGAGGGGGCACTGGCTGAGGGAGAGGCAAGAAGTCTGCTCAGCGCCCATGCCCCCCATGGCTTCTCCTGGCAGGAAACACACTGGGGAGAAACCCTTCGAGTGTCCCAAATGTGGAAAATGTTACTTTCGGAAGGAGAATCTCCTCGAGCATGAAGCCCGGAATTGTATGAACCGCTCAGAACAGGTACTTGTGGGCTGGCCCAGGTCCTTGTGGGCCAGGGCATGTTGGCTTCTGTCTTCCTGCCACCCAAGAGGGCCCCCAGGAGACTGTCTTAGATGGGACTGTAAACTCAAGAGCTGGAGGCCAGAGTCTACTCCCTCATATTACAGATGGGGACACAGGTCCCAAGGGTGGAAGGGACAAGTCCAGGAGGGACTTTGAGGGAGGCATTTTGGGTTTGCCTGCCCAGCCCCCTGGGCTTTGGAGAAGGGGTGACTTGGTGTGGGGATGGCTGCTGGGAGGGGCCACCTGGCCACCTCCCCCGACTCCACTGGCTGGCCCATGTGGTGGGACCAGCTAAAGCCTGCCCTTCTCTTTCTAGAGGCCTGTCATGGGGGGCGAGGGCTGCCGGTGAGGCCACTCTGCCCCTACCCCAGCTTGTCGGGCCTGAGAAGGGCCTGGTGTGGTGGGTTTGCAGCACTCAGTGATGGTCAGGGTCAGGGCAGGCAGGTTACGTGTTGCCCTCTCCCACCCTAGCATCCCCCCCCTCGGGCAGACTCCTCCCAGCAGCGAGTGGAAGCCCGGGCTGCCGTCGCAGGCAGAGGCCCCCCCTGATGCCGGCCCTGCTTGCCCCTCACACTGCCAGGTCTTCACGTGCTCTGTGTGCCAGGAAACCTTCCGCCGGAGGATGGAGCTGCGGGTGCACATGGTGTCCCACACGGGGGAGATGCCCTACAAGGTCAGGCTCGGCCTGTCTCCAGGGCCATGGGCTGAGGGGCAGCCCCAGGATCCCTCCCGCTGAGCCCTTTACTTCCGATGGTGTCAGGCGCCTCCCCCTTGCCAGTGGTCAAGGAGCCCAGCCTTCCCTGCCCATCCAGTGCTTCCATGCCTTTAGGCGGGGCCACTGGCCCTTTTGGGTTCTTGTTTCTTTCCATGGAGGGCAGGCTCAGCATCTGTGTGGGCATGGCACTGGGAGCCCTCCCTGGCACATCCTTTACTCCAGGTCAAGGAGGCTCCCAGCTTCTCAGGCTGGGCCCTGCCCTTGGGTTCCCACCCCGATAGCCCAGGGGTGGCCAGGGTTCCATTGGTGTGTGCTGCCTCAGAGGTGACTGTGGGCCTGTTTTTTCAGTGTTCCTCCTGCTCCCAGCAGTTCATGCAGAAGAAGGACTTGCAGAGCCACATGATCAAGCTGCACGGAGCCCCCAAGCCCCATGCCGTAAGTGCCAGGCCATGCTGAGGGCTGGGGCTGGGCACGCTTTGATGCTGGGAACTAGTAGGAGTGATGTGGCTGTAGCTGTGTCCAGAATGGGCAGGCTGTGCAGTTTCTGCCATGTAGGGGGCCAAGAAGGTCTGTGGGTCTCCGGGGGCAGCCCCACCCTATCTTCTCCCTGGCCTTGCTCCCTCTGCCTGTTCCCTCTGCTCCACAGTGTCCTACCTGTGCCAAGTGCTTCCTGTCCCGAACGGAACTGCAGCTGCATGAGGCTTTCAAGCACCGCGGGGAGAAGCTGTTTGTGTGCGAGGAGTGTGGGCACCGGGCCTCGAGTCGAAATGGTTTGCAGATGCACATCAAGGCCAAGCACAGGTTGGGGTTGGCCCATCTTCCCGCAGGGCCCGGTGCTGCTGCTGGCTCCAGGCCAGTGGGTGGGCCGGGAAGAGTTTGCTGATGCTCACATGGGACGGAGTGCCCTCCACCCTGCGTCTGGCCCCTGCAGCCTTTCTAGGTGGGGGCACAGGAGGGATGAGCAAATCTGTCAGGCAGAGAGGGTCGGGGAGGGGATTTCAGGCTAAGACAAGGCTCTGTATCTTCCTGGGCAGAGTCAGTTTCCTGTGGCTCCCAGGATGGAGCTGGTGCCCCTTTCCTAGCACTGCCCAAGCCCTCTTTCCACCAGGCAGCGCGTTGCAGCCTGGGCCCATGCCAGTGGCTCTGGCAGGCTTGCTTCAGGCTTGCCTCTTTCCTTGGCTCTGGGGCCAGGTATGCTCCCAGCTACAGATGGTGATGGCTTCTCCTTGTGTCCTCCGTCCGGACAGGAATGAGAGGCCATATGTCTGTGAGTTCTGCAGCCACGCCTTCACCCAGAAGGCCAATCTCAACATGCATCTGCGCACACACACGGGCGAGAAGCCCTTCCAGTGCCACCTCTGTGGCAAGACCTTCCGTACCCAAGGTGAGGCAGGCCCGTCCCCTCCCTGTTCTGGGGCCGAGGCCCAGTTGCTGAGCCCTCACCTTATTCCCACAGCCAGCCTGGACAAACACAACCGCACCCACACCGGTGAGAGGCCCTTCAGCTGTGAGTTCTGCGAGCAGCGTTTCACTGAGAAGGGGCCCCTGCTGAGGCATGTGGCCAGCCGCCACCAGGAGGGCCGGCCCCACTTCTGCCAGATCTGTGGGAAGACCTTCAAAGGTACCTGGCTGTGGGAGGCCATCACCCCACACCTTTCTCTGGGCAAGCCTTGTGGGGAGCAGTGGGCTGGGCCATTTCCTGCTGACCAGAGTTGGACGGTCTCCTCCGGGAGAGATCAGGGGCAGCAGTGGCTTTCACATGCTCCTGGGCAGAGGAACCTTCTTGCCAGCGAATCTCTTCCCTTCCCCCCATGTCAAAGACATGAGGGTGGAGCTGCTCTGACTGAAGTGGAGGGGCTGGAAACTCCCAAGGGGGGTGTGGAACAGTGACCTTGGAGTGGTGCTGTAGAGCCTGGCAGGGCCCTCCTCCGCACAGTTGCAAGCCCCGAGTGCTGCCTCTCATCTTGGGGCACAATCCCACCCACCTCCCCACCTCTCCTAATGCTGGCGGTCCCTTCCCTTCTGCAGCAGTGGAGCAGCTGCGTGTGCACGTCAGAAGACACAAGGGGGTTAGGAAGTTTGAATGCACTGAATGTGGCTACAAGTTCACCCGGCAGGTAGGCCTGGAGCCTGAATCACTTCCTCTTGCCCCCTTTGGGGCCCCTGAGCCCCCCTACCCCTCGGCCCCACTCCACCCAGCCCTGAGCCCCCCTCACCCCTAGGCCCACCTGCGGAGGCACATGGAGATCCACGACCGGGTGGAGAACTACAACCCACGGCAGCGCAAGCTCCGGAATCTGGTCATTGAGGATGAGAAGATGGTGGTGGTGGCACTCCAGCCGCCTGCCGAGCTGGAGGTGGGCTCGGCTGAAGTCATCGTGGAGTCCCTGGGCCATGGCGGCCTGGCCTCCCAGCTCCCTGGCCAGAGACTATGTGCAGAGGAGAGCTTTGCAGGCCCGGGTGTCATGGAGCCCTCGCTCATCATCACGGCTGCCATCCCTGATGACTGTGACACGTAGCCCCCTACCCACCATAGCCCACTTGGCCCCAGCCCCCAATAAACCACATGGCTTTGGACTTGATTGTTTCAGCCCATCCGGCCATCTGTTTCCCAGTAAATGGACTCCAGGGATGTGCTGCTTTCCCACCGTGTCCTCTAGAAGAAATGGTGCCCTACCTGACCTTCTGTGTACCTCAGAGTTCGGCCAGCAGCTTCCCTACCTTGTCAGGAGACCTCAGCAGAATGAAATCTGGGCAGGTAGCTTTGGTGGCCAAGCCTCTCACCCCAAACACTCTCATCTGTCTCCTGTCCCTTGTTCTATCAGGGTTTAGAACTGGCAGTAGTGGCCAGATACAGCAGTGGGGTTCCTATTTCAGAGTTGCAGAGCTGCCAGCTAGTGGGGGCAGAATTCATTACTAAGCCTCTGGTATCAAAACAGAGTGGCCAGGGCATCCTGCTGATGGCCTTGTTGGCTCAAGTCTCAGGCCATTAATGTGCAGCTGAGCACATCTGGGAACCTGAGGAGAGTGGGGTTTGTGGCTAAGCAAGCTTTGGATGGACCCTCGCTGGCAGCATGCCCACAGACAATACCTTCCCTTGGGAGGGCCCTACCTTGGTGTGCTTGTCCAGGAGGCCTGGGGGACAGGCAACACCAGGCCTAGAATGGTGATAGGGCCTGGCGGTTCCCAGGTGCTACAGTCACGGGGACGGGGGTGGGTGGGGTGCTGCGTGTCATGGAGGAAGAGTGTGGGTGCAGGAGGCCGACTGCCCGTGTCCACACTCCTTCCCAACTCCTCATTCATAGCTCTGCGACCCAGGGCAAGTTACTAACTCTTTTATTTCCTCATCTTTTAATGGAATTAGTAACAGTACACACTTTATAAACGAGGATTAAATGAGAAAACCCACTGTTGCAGTTACGTCCTGCTGGATGACAAACTACCCAGGCATTTCCCTGGAGACTGGGGATCTGCTCTCAAGGTGGCTGACTTAGGTGTCTGGCAGGTTGGCAAGCTGGCTGTGGGCTTCGGTCCCTTTCCACCGGCTGCCTGGGCTTCCTTGCAGCATGATGGCTGGGAGCCAAGAGCAAATGTCCCCACAGGGCAAAGCTGAAAGGCCTTTTTATGACCTAGTCCTGGGAAGTCACATTGCATCACCTTTGCTATGTTGTGTTGGTCCAGGCAGTCACCAAAATGTCACTCCCCAGATTCGAGGGGAGGGAACATAGACCCCACCAGTTGATGGGAAGGGTGTCAGAGAGTCGCACAGTTTACAACTGTCCCATACAGTCAGTGCTTCTGCTCAGTGTTTGACCTGGAGTGAACTCTGAGTCAATGGTAGTGACAGTCACAACCCCGAGAGCTTGAGTCAGGCACTACTTAAATCTCATCACTGGAGGATTCCCGAAACAGCAGCCCTACGCTATGCTAAATTCCTCCTGGAGTTTGAGGAGGAAAACTATCTTCTATTTTAGACGTAGAACCCATCTATCTTTCCTTTTATTCCCTGACCACTGGGGAGCTCAGAGGTAAAGACAGGATTCAGGTACAGTAACTGACATGCAGGTTATGAGCTGCTTCAGATCTCTTTTGGCAACAGGGTCTTAAAAAGGCAAACTGGCCTCCAAATGCTCCCCTACCAGCCCAGGCCTGGCCTCTCCCTTGGTTTCAGATGGGCTCTGCAGATGTGAGGGATGTTTCTGAGCTTCATGACCCAAGGGATCCATGGCTTCCTCTGGAATCCCTTATTTTAAGAGCTCTACCCTCTACAGGTCCAAGATCCACCCACTGCAGAGATGGGGATCTCATCACCACTGGGACACCTCCAGGAGGGGCTGGGAGAGCAAGACAAGGGCAGAGCACTGAGAGGTGGAGCGGGGGGGGGGGGGGGGGGAGGGCTGAACCCAGCCTGGGAGCAACAAGTGAGGCATGGACTCAACCACCGCATCCCTCACATCTCGGGCTCAGCCTCCTCTTGCCACTACTTCATACTCCTAGTGATCCAAGATGAGAAAGGGCCTGAGAGCTTTGCCCCCAAGACCATTAGCTTAGGCCCTGGGTGCTCCAGAGTCTGCCACCTTCCCTGCTAGCATAGGGACGGCTCACACTGCTCTGCTCCCCTTGCCCCACATTGCTTGGCCTCAGCCCAGAGGTTCCAAGACAGTGGCAGCAGGATAAAGGTAATGACACCAAGTATATAGGAAATCTTTTTATTTCAAGAAATATGTATTGAAGGCATCCTAAAACCTGAAACAGGATTTTGGACATGTAAGCCTACAGAACAGACAAATAAATATGCAAATCTGCCCCATCCTCTGGGGTTGGAACTGGATGTCAGACACTGGAGGGAGGTGGTATCCTTTAGTATGTGAGAGTTCTGAAGTCATAAATATAGATCCTTTATAGGAGTAGATCAGTATTAAATACTAGTCACTGAATTTTTATAACTTAATTTGTCTTGAGACTGATAAAGCTGTGTACATCCAACATGTAGAGACAGTCCCACCCCCAGTTGGCCCAGCCTCTGTCCCCAAGTCAGTGTACAGACATTCTTAAGTGGCAGGGGCTTCACAGCCTAGAACCCTGCCCAGGGGAAGTGGGGAGGGGAGCAGACATTTCTGGAGGGACCTGCTACGGCCGAGGCTACTGCCTCCACTTCCCATCCTTGGTCTTTTAAACCGAAGATGGGGTGTCCAGGTGGTGGGGACCCAGGTAGTTCTAGAGAGTGAACACAGAGGACGACACCCGACCTTCTCTCTCCTTCACTGGCTCACAGCAAACCATTATCTAAGCAGCCACCAGACAGCGGGATGGTCAGTCACATGGCGGCCAGTCATGGTGAAGTACCAAAGGAGGAGAAAGAGCAGGAACCCAGGACACTGGGCCCCTGCCACAAGGGGGGAGCTTCTACCGGGAAGGTCAGACAAAGGCCAGGCCCTGGCCCTCAGTGCTGACCATAACCACTGCGGCGGGCTCCAAAGGCCGGTTCTGTAAGAAAAACAAGAAAGCGTTTGCAGCTCCCCTGGCCCAACAAAAAAGCTTTATATGATACCTCTACCCTTAAGTCACCACCCGTGGGAAATCCTTGACCTTGACAAAGACCCAGCCCCACCTATCTGGAGGGCTGTGGGGTGAGCTCCAGTGACCGCAGGACAGTCACTCTCTGCTCCCCATCCTGCCTTCTTGGACTGCCGAGGGGGTCCTCTAGGGAGACAGCCCCGAGGAAGGGCACCAGGGTGACCTGTCACAGCAGTCAGCATAGCATCTACCTGTGTGCCGTGTCCCAACACCAACTGGGCAGGACATAGTCTCTCTGGCACTGAGCTCCATGTCTGGTATATAATCAGGAATCCATCAATGCTGTGCAGCGCAACCCTGCTCTCCATCCCCCTGCCACTGACAGGAGACAAACCACTGTGCCTGTGCAGCCTCTGCCTGCAAAGGAACCCAAGACGGCCACCCCACCAAGCACGGTCAATCTCTGGGTGGGCTCAGACTGCCAGGCAGGCACTTGGGCCAGAAAAAGGCCCCAGGACCCCCTGGGGAGGGAAGTGAGGGCTGTGGAGAGGAGCATCTAAGGCTGAGGGGGAGAGGGGCAGGGGAGCCCTGACTCACCAGGGGAGAACACCCAGATCAGGAAGAGTGAAGGTGGAGACCAAGTGGAGGGTCCCCAAGGGAACAGAGGGCTGAGCACCCACCTGGGCCAAGGCCTGGGGCACAAAGCAACAGCACGGGGCTGGCCGACCCCAAGAAGCCCAGGCACATGTCTCCCTGAGGCCCACAGGAACCCACAGCCAGGCCTGATCCAGGGAGCCCCACCAGCCCACCTCCAGCAGCGCCCAGCACACAGTGGGTGCTTGGGTCAGCGACAACCCCAAGGGGACGGGAAGGGCTCGCTGTGGTGCCAGGGTGCCAGAGCTCTTCATAGGCACGATGGGGCTCTACCTAACAGCGTGCAGGCCAGAAGGCTTCCTCCCCAGAAGAACTTGCGCCATCTGACCGATAAAAGGGTCCTAAGTGCCATTTGTGACATGACAGTGCTGAAATTCTTTTTGTCCTGGTGAGAACACATCTCCCAGGTTAGTTCACTGGGGAGGCAACTCAATGAACGTGTGCTTTCAATTTATCTAACGAGGAAAATGCCAACAGCCTCCTCTCTGGAAGGGAAGGAAGACAGATTCAAACAAAGGCTACTTTGGGAAACCGGAAGGGACAAGACCTCCCAATCCAGAAATGTTCACGCTCCCCAGAGAAAACCAGGGACCCTGAGCCGCAAGGTCTCCTGGGAGCTCTTCCTGCTGCGCCCTGGAGCTGGCCCTGGGCTTTCTGAGGAGCTTAAGCCACCCCCCACCCCACAGAAAGCTTCAACAATGGCATGGTGATAGATTAAAAACCAAACAAACCGGACCCTGTTTCTAGCTGCCCCCCTTCTTTTAAGGAAGGGCTGAACTGCACTTCAAATCTCGCAAACAACCATGGAGGCCGCCCAGCCCAGGGCTTCCTTTAGAAGCAGTGGGACTCTGCTCACAGGCCGGTGGGGGCGCCTGCAGCCGTCTGCCTGGCTGGGTTTCAACAAGGCTCCCAGGGCCTCCCAATAAGGAGCTATGACCTTGTACTTGCAGGCTTTTGACCTCTCCTGCATTGGCATGGGACGAAGGTCCCAGAGAGGTCTCCAGGCCAGGTGGGGACACACCAGTTGGTAGGGTGGGTGGAAGGGGACACCCAACACCTGCCTCAGCCCAGGTCTACTGGAGACAGAAAACACGCAGCAGGCCCCTCAGGGCCCCCTTCAAGGCCACAATCCTGTCCAGTCGCACCACCCTGTGCCCCTGGGTCGGAGCTCACCCCCGGGAGGCCCACCCCTGTGAGGAGTATGTTGCTGTGAGACCCCAGCTGGGGCGAGGAGCTAGGCAGGCAGATGCCCTCCATCTGGGGAGCTGGCCCACTGGGACGTCCAGCGCTGGACATGGAGTTTGAGATCCCGCTGCAGCTATCGTCTGCCTGATTCCTGATGCTCCAGGACAGCGAGGTCCGCAGGAAAGCAGGAGGCCCAGGCCATTCTCAGACCCTCACGGGAGGACCCCACCCCCTCCACTCGTACCTCAGAAGCGGCCCTCCTCTCCCGAGGTGGGAGCAAGCAGGCGCAGGTAGTGGCAGCAGGAGGCGTGTGAGCTGCATTGGTGAGGGATGGGTCTGAGGCTGGGGGTGACCTGCTGGAGCCAGAGACGTCCAGCAAGGAGGCATCTCTTCCAGGCCAAGGGAGAGGCATTCGCAACCAGCTTTGGCCCCAGCAGCCATGACTCAGGCTCTAAATGCACAGAAACTCTCCAGGCGTCAGATCCTGAGGCTCAGTCAGCAGCCCAAGAGCCAATGCTCCACCTGGTGAGGCCAACCTGTCCTCGTGTGCGAAGGAGGGGGTCGCTGCCCCCAGAGGTGCTGGGTTACCTGCACCGAGGCCCTCCCTGGGCCAGGCCGGGGCTAGTGCAGCTCACCAGGGTTCTGTGGCGGCCGGTGCCCCCGCCCCACATCCATGTCACTACTGCCACTGTCCAGCTCAAAGCCACGCCCGCCAGAGGGTGTCTGGGGCATGAACTGGCGAAATATGCTGACACTCCCGTGCCAGAAGGTGGGCTCTGGGAGCCGCCCCACCACGCTCCATGCCCGAGTCTCCGGATCATAGGCCTCCACCACGTCAGAGAGCTCAAACGTATTGTCGTATCCCCCCGAGACGTACAGCTTCCCTCCGAGGACGGCCAGGCTGCCCCCAACGTGCACCTGTGAGCCAAAGGAGAGGGGTGAGTGGAGACTGGCAGCCAGGGCACAGAAGAATCCCTGCTGCCCCTCTCCAGGTACCCATGACCACTGGGAGGGGTGGCCTCAGCACTTGCTGGAAGTTTCAGATGGGAAAACTGAGCCTCATATGGCTGATGGTGGCTGAGCTGGGACTTGATCCAAAGCCGGGGCTCCGAACCAGAAGGCTGTACCACCCCATCTTTCCCAAATTTGCTATAAGGAGTACATGTAGCTCATTATAGGGAAAATATAGTTACATTTCCTAAATGTTAAGATGTTAAGCTGTGATGTGTAAATTGTGATATCTGCCATGCAGACGTTATCACGAGAGCAGGTTTGGAAATTTTAAGGAAGACAGAAAAGAAAGATGTAGATGGCTGTATATGTTTCTGGGACTAAGGAGACTGCCCACATGGCTAAATGCCTCCAAGCCTTCCTGGCTCCATCACACTGTCAGGCTCAGCATCTCTCTTCTCGACAAGCAGAAAGGAGAGACCCTGATCTGGCAGCAGCAGCAGCATGGGTGTCCTCTTCAGAGCACACAGCAGGTGCTCAATAAATGTATTCTGAAGGTCAGTTCCTTAGGAACCAGCTGAGGGTGTGTCAGTCTCCAAAGACCTTCTTATCCCCTCTTTTGCCCCCTTATTCACTCTGTTCCAGCCACACAGGAGCCCTGTTCTAGGCCTTGTTCCAGAAACATCCCAGGCATGCCCTGCCCCAGGGCCTTTGTGCTTGCTGTCCTTCTGTAGAACACTCTTCCTCAGTATGCTCTCTGGCTCGTGGCAGGTACTCAGTGAATACTGGTGTAATGAATGAACCTGCTAAGCTATGTGGCCCTGGGATGTTATTTAAGGTCTCCGTGTCTCAGCGACCCTCAAGAACAAATTGAGGGTCACACTAGCTCTCTCTCAATGAGATAACACCCGGAAAGGGCTCACCATGGGCCCTGCCCATCAGGACTATCTCCCAAACACTTATGATGACGCTTGGGCCAGAAAGCAGGACCAGCCTGTGCTTCCAATGCTGGCATGTCTGTAAATTTACCTGATTCATAGAGGGGATCTTGTCCCATTCGTTCTTTGTCGGGTTATATACGTCCACCTCGGCAGAGTCATCCCTGTGGAGAGAAGGAGCAGAGAGAGCAGGTCAGAGCAAGGAGGAAGTACCCCCCAGTGTGAAGGGCTAGAGAAGAGGGTCCTTCAGGCCCCTCTACCTTGAGTATGTGGCTGACACCATTTGGCCCAGTGGCCAGTGGGACCCCATCCCTGGTTTACAGGAGCCAATTTCAGACCCCGACACCTATCTGGCCCAGCGTCTGAGGCCAGAACTCAGCCTTGATCCCCAAACCCTAAGATCACACCCTCTGGTGCTTAAACCTTTCCCTGCCACCCAGCTCCGACACGGCTGTCCTCTTTCCTGGCTGCAGCCACGCTGGCTTCTCTCAGATCTTGAACTTATGGTCCTTCTTGCCCCAGGCTCCTTCTCATCCTCCTGATTTGGACTTATGCCATCTCTTTAGGACAGCCTTCCATGGTTGACCAGTCCAGGCCAGGCCTCCTGCCCCACCACACACCCCCAGTTGCCCCAGGCTGCTCCTTGGCCTCTGTCCTCACCGCCACCACCAGCCTCCCCGCCCCGTCCCGTTCACTGCTGTGTCCTCAGTGCCCAGCAGGATAAACACAGTCACAGGAACTGAGATACCGGCGCTGCCCTTCCCTTTGGGGTCAGGATCCTTCAGCCTGTTTGACAGGCTCCTGATCCCTGTAACAAAAGGCTCAAAGGCACAGCCTTGAAGAGCAAAGACAGTACCCCGCAATAGCAGCAGTAATGACGATCATGGTCACAGGTCAGGGGTCAGCCGAGGGGCCCCACAGTAAGTATCTTAGGCCTTGCAGAGCAGACGGTCTCTGTGGCTCCTCCCCAACGCGGCTGTTGTGGCTGAAAAGCAGCCACAGCTGTACGTAAACAGAGGGACTGGCTGCGTTCCAAGACAACCTTACTTAGAGACACAGAAACTTGAATTTTGCATAACTTTTCATAGGTCATGAAATATTTCTCTTGCTTCAATTTTTTCCTCCAACCATTTCAAAATGTAACAACCATTCTTAGAGTGTGGCCCACGTGATGATGGCAATACCAGAACCTGCTTGGCTGTCCTCCCCCAGCAGAGACATGCAAGCTGCAGCCAGAAGGCGACAGGCTGGACAGTGCTCCCAGTTCATTCCTCTGCGGGGGCTGGGATGCCCCAGCCGAGAGCCACCTTAAATGAGGATGAGGACAGAGGCGGGGCATTGCTGGGGAAGGAAAGGGGCTGGGACCTCCAAACAGCACTGGCTGCCTCCCTGGGGACGGCACCTTCCAGACAGGAGCTGCCCTGATAGGTAGCATTCTGAGCAGGGGCTCGGAGGTGCCGAAGTGCATGAACAGCGTGGCTCTGGGACAAACACTCCAGAGTGTCAGCCCCAGGCCTTGCCGAGACTCTCAGCCAAGGCCAGGTCCCCATGACTCACCTGGAGGACAAATGGGCTGCCTTTCCCTACCTCCCACTCTCTCAGTCAGGTTGGGGGGGTGGGCAGAGGTGAGCCCGCCCTCCAGGGCTTGGGTGAACCCCCAAAAGTGGGTGTGGAGGGTGCCCCAATGCGTCCATGTGAGGAGTTTAGCAACTGACAGGTGACTCAGACCAGGAAGAGGAGGCCGTGGGACCTCAATCTGCAGACCAGCCCTTGGGCACGCCTTGCTCTACGACCACAGGGCAGGGAGGACGTTTTCAAAGGCGCTCACCCTGGAACTACTGGTGAGGGGCTGAAGCCAAGGTCCTGGCGCTCTGATAAGTTGTATTTATAGCCATCTCCACCCCCTCCTTGAAGACATCTACAACGACCTGGGGGAGGGAGAGCTGTGAGAAAGGTCAGATGATGTTTTCTAACAGGAGCAGGCTGAGATTCCAGGGCTTTCTCAGAGCAGACTGCAGGTTCCTGGCACACGGTGATGCCTGGCCCCTTGGCCACTTGCATGGCAAGCAATGCCACCTCTGTTCCGCATGGGCTCTCCCAAAGCCTGGGAAGGAGCCTCGAGTCAGGCGGAGGAGAGGGAGGGACAGACAAAGGCCAGCACAGCTCAGTGAGAGAGGGGGTGGCCAAGAAGCAAAGTGCACTGAGGCTCCCAATTCAAAGCCCCAGACCGCAAGGGGACAGAGGGCTCCGCCATTCATCCCTTACTCTTCCCTCCTGGTCCCGGAGCTCCAGGCAAGCTCCAGGCCAGAGAGCAGACCAGCAGGTACAACACCTACAATGATGCCTGTATGTACCTACGGACACACGCACTTGCATACCCACACACACACACACGGAAGCTGCACACAGTTGGCAGGGAGCTCCTACGCCCCTGGATGCCCAGTGGCCCATGAGGAGGAGGCATTTGGTTACAACCAGTCATCAAGATCAACGAACGCACGGCGACCCACTGGCTGCCTATCTCTGCTCCATGCTGCTAAGGACACAGCCCAGTGCAGGGAGTCCGTGATGTAATGACATCACGCAGGACCTGGGTCAAAGGTACTTGGTTCAAATCCTCTGTTGCTACCTAAAGCCTGTGGCTATTAAGTTCCCTAGCCCTCAAGGCCTCTGTTTTGCAATCTGTGAAATAGGGACAGCAGTGGTGCCCATCTCATTAGACAGTCATGGAGATCAACTGTGAAAAGGCCCAGGAAGCAGGCAGCACAGAGATCGACTCGTCTGGCACCCCAACACACGCTGCCTGTTGTCATCATTCCCTCAGGTAGCTTCGGGGCCTGTTCAATACCAGGTCCCTTTCTGGTCCAGAGTGGCTGTGGGATCCCCGGAGAAGAGCATTCATTCAACAAGACTCATGAGCCCTCCCTGCGCCAGGACAGGCGAGAAGGGGCCAGACAGAATCTTCGGAAACTCACTGAACACACAAGTACCTGGGGATAGATCCCCCACCTACCTGAGCATGGACACTCTGCCAAGCGAGTAAAGGGTCCCTCAGTTGAGGCCACATCTCCCTAAAGGCTTGAGTGTCCAACAAGCTTTCCTCTGGTCTTTTAAAGATTTGAAATCCCTCTTAGGCAGGGCATGTTCCTTTCTGAAAAATGCCAAGTGAGAACAGCCGGCCCTGGTGGTCCAGTGGTTAAAATTCGGCGCACTCACCACCGCAGCCTGGGGTCATTTCCCAGTCAGGGAACCACACCACCCGTCTGTCGGTTGTCATTATGTGGCGGCTGTGTGTGATGCTGAAAGCTCTGCCACTGGTATTTCAAATACCAGCAGGGTCACCCATGGTGGACAGGTTTCAGCAGGAGATTGTAGACTAAGAGAGACTAGGAAGAAGGACCTGACCACTCACTTCTGGAAAAATTGGCCATGAAAACCCTATGAAGAGCGGCGGAGCATTGTCTGATATGGCGCCAGAAGAGGAGAGGGTGGCACAAAAAGACCACGAGGCTCTGCTCTGCTGTGCACAGGGTCGCCAGGACCAGGAGTTGACTTGACAGCACTAAACAAATGCGAGAACAACCAGGCTTTTAGTGGGATCCTCCAGGTGGATGTCCAGCCAAAGGGACACATTTTATCTAGCTTCTCAAAAAGTTCTCTGAAAGGATCTAACTCCATCACACTTGGGATCCCTGGATTAAGAAAATCTAGAAGCCCATGTAAACCACTCTAAGAAACAGGAACAAAGGGTCAGAAAGACCCAGCCTCAGAGCCCAGCTTTGCCTCAGTTTCCTCACCTGTGAAATGGGGAGAACAGTGATAAAGTGCTTAGCATGGGGCCTGGCAAGAAGTGCGGAACGCACGGCCTCAGCCCCGGGGACTCACCTGATGAAGTACATGAGTCCATTCAGGGTCACCGTCTTGGGGGCGAAGGACCAGGGTGGGAGCTGGCCACAGTCCACCAGCGACCACAGGTCCGTGTCCGGATGGTAGCACTGCATCACCATGGTCTCCTTGCCAGCCAGGGAGCCAATGGCGTAGAGCCGGCCGCGGCAGGCAGTGGTGGAGCAATTGTCCATGGGGTAGGTCATAGGCTGCAGGGCCTCCCAGGAGTCAGTGGTGTGGTCGTAGCGCTCCGTGCTGTCCGCGGCCACCACGTACAGCAGCCCGTCCAGTACAGAGGAGCTGTGGTACTCGCGGGCCTTCAGCATGGGCGCCACCTCCGTCCACTCGTTCACACTCGAGTTGTACCTCCACACGCAGTCGTAGAGCCGGGAGCCATCAGACCCGCCTGCCGGGATGCACAATGGACAGGTCAGCCCACATCAACTTGGGGTGAGTCACCTACCCGTGCCTTCCTGAACTTCCGAGAGGGCGTCTCCCAGGGGAGGAATGAACCTCACTGTGCTTTGATGTGAACATGTTCTCTCTCATCAAAGCCCAAGGCAGGGACTCCAAGCTGGGGCTAAGGCAATACCCAGGACGACGGCCGAGCTTCGTGCCATAGAAACACCACCAAATCTTTGCAGCTGAAGCAAAGGCCCCAGGGCTACCCCCACAGATGCCGTCAGACCCCTCACCTGGACCAGGGCATCAGGTCTGAGTCAATTCTCCCAGAGAGCCACAGGATGTAGGGGGAGGGGGGGTACACAGGGGCTTGTTCACCAAATCCCAGGCTTCCGAGGCACCCCCAACCAAAGCTGTGCCAGGACCAACTGAGTGGAAATCTACTTCACGCAACCAGCACAACACCACCACATAAAGTAAAGCTGCGAGTGGACTTCTGGGGTTGGTTCTTGATTTAGGTGCAAGTTACAGAGGCGTGTTTTGTTGGAAAAACTCATCAAGCTGCACAAGTATGATGTATACTCTTCTGTCTACATTTCTTATTTCAGAAAAGAACTAGGAAAAAACTCCCAGTGGTGCTGGCTGTAATTGTAAATTAAACAGGTCTATCGGGGACATCAAAACTCCCACAGCATGAAGGAACCCTAAGAACTCTGGGGGCTACAATCCCAACTCCCCAGGCTGGCGCCACAGGGCAGAGCAGGCATGACATTCTATCCGTCTCACAGCCCAGAGCTCTTAAAGGAAGAAAACAAAGTTCTTGTAAAGTCCACTCTGCCTGCCTTCTCCCTTCCAAAGGACCCGTGTCAAGGGCAGCTGGAGCCAGTTTTCCGGCCCTGCGAAATTCCCTAGAGGCAGCTGTATGGAACGACCCAGCCACCTGTCTAAACCCGAAGGATTAGCTGCTCAGCTGAGACATTTATGGAAGCGTCTGCAATGTTGGGGCGAGTCTGACCAGTTCTGGGAGGAAGCTCACTGGCAGAATTTTCAGGGAAGTCGGGACCATGATTCCCAAACAACACGGCCAACTTCAGATTGGATTCCGGGAGATTCCAGCAGAGGCTGGACCTGGAGCTGCAGGCCAAGGCAGCTTGGCTACAGAGCTGAGCATATCCTTGGGCTGAGATGCTGCCCATTGTCAGCTCAGAGCCCCAGGGCACACTGGAGCACGTCTCAGGGCTAGCTTTCTCTCTAACATGCCAGGCTGGGCACGGTGGCTGTGAGGACCCAGCCCTGAGCCTCCCCAGCCGGGTAACAGCCTCTGAAGGGCTCAACGCACGCTTGGTCCTGTTCTTTCCTTATATAGCCGTCAGAGACCGCCCCTCGTCATCCCACGGAAGGAGGTAGCCTCCTGTTCGAACCGAGATTTATCTTTAATAAAAAATGTGGGAGAAGCCCGGGACTGAGGCTGGCTGGGACCCGCCCAGCATGACTCGGCAGTGTTTTGGGGTTTGGGCCAAAGCAACTGGAAGGAAACCTTAGCATGTGACTATGTTTACAGTCGCTGTGTAGGGAGCAGCCTAAACACCACGTGACCCACACCACATAGCCTAGGTGTAAGTCCCAGGGAACTTTGTCACCCATGACAAAATGCATGTGTCAGGAGGCCCGTGTGGCTCAGCAGTGAGGAGAAATCCCCTGGGAGGGGATAATGCATGTCTCACAGGGCAGCGCATCAGCCTGTGGCCTGTCCCCTGGATCCCGGAGGGAAAAAAAGAAAGCACCCATTGTGTAGAGTGAATGCCCCAGTATCTTCCAACCAAATAGCCAGGCACCTCCCAGGCAAGGAGTGGGCTCCCCTGGGCAGGCCACACGGCTGGGCGAAGAGAGAGAGGGAGACCCACAAGCAGTTACTTGTCTCGGCTCACACAAGGGGCTCTTTTTCTAGGTTGAAAGTATTAACCCTAGACCAGTACCCACTGGCCAGCTTGCGGGAAGGGAAAGGGAAATAGTCGCTTGCACTCAGGTGAGGTCCCTGGACTCCAGGTTCTGTTTCCTGGGGACAGACGTGATCCCCCAGGGGCGCAGGAGGCCAACCCGAGACCCCTGCCTGGGGGGCCGGCCGGTCCTGGGTCCTCCTAACCAGCCCCCAGGCAACTCACCCGTCACGTAGATGTCATTGCCCAGCGCCACGATGCTGTAGCCGCCGCCCAGGTGGTCGGGGAACTCAGCCAGGTAGCGCCACTGGCCCGTCTGCGGGTTGTAGCAGTCAACGGTGACCAGCTCGTCGCAGTCCTGGTCGCAGCCCCCCACAAGCACGAGGATCTCGGCGAGGCCGGTGGAGGGGCGCGGGCGCATGCGGGGGCAGGGCCCGCGGTCGTGGCGGTCATAGCGCGCCGCCTGGAAGTCGCGCGCCTCGCGCAGGAGGCGCAGGCAGGGCGGGCAGCGCGCCACGAGTGGCTCGGCCTCGACGTGCGCCAGCAGGTAGAAGCGACGCACGAAGGGCAGGCGCACGGCCTCGAGCAGCTGCGGCCAGTGCGCGGCGCGGCGCGGCGGGTCGGCGCGCACCCAGCGCAGCGCCAGCTGGTAGGCGGCCTCCTCCTTGGGCACACACAGCCCGTCGTCGCGCAGGTAGCGCAGCAGGCGCGCCAGCGGCAGCCGCTCCAGCTGCTCGGCGCCCAGCTCGCCCACGTGGCGCAGGATGAAGCGCTGAGCCGCGCTCGCCAACCCCGCGCAGCTAAAGGCCTCGGCGAAGTCCTGCATGTCCAGGCAGTTAGCCAGGTCGAGCTGCTGCTGCAGAAAGGCGCCGCACGCCTCCTTCACGGCCGGGAACTGCAGCAGGTCGGCGGCGCGCAGCAGCGGCTCGGCGTTGTCGCCGCTCACCGCCACGCGGCCCGTGTAGCTGAAGTCGAGGAGCAGCTGCAGCATGTCGGGCGGCACGCCGTGCAGGCGCACCCGCTCCGCGCGGCTCTCACGCAGCTGCCCGGCGAACATGGCGCGGAAGTAGGGGCTGGCGGCCGCCAGCACGGCGCGGTGCGCCGGGAAGTCGCGCCCGCCCGCCGCCTCCAGGGTCACGTCCAGGAACTTGCGCTCCGCGCGGAGCTGGCTCAGCCCGCGCAGCAGGCTCAGCGCGTGCGCGGGGTCCGAGAAGGGCAGCACGGCCAGGGGCGCCGGCCGCTCCATGGCGCTCTCGCTGCGGGGCGCGGGGCCGCTGCGCGCGCTGCCTGGGAACGCCGCGGCCGGGGCCAGCGGGAGAGACGCAGCGCGCTGCGCGTCGCCGCTATAAATAAGGCCGGGGGCCGCGGCCGCGGGGGGGCCGGCCCGGGCGGGGGGCGGGGCGCCGCCGGCACCGCCCACTTAACCCCTCCGGGCCCGGCGCCGCCGCCCGGGCGCGCGCGCGGGATCGCCTCCCCCCCGCGCGCGCCCGCCCCCGCGCTCCAGGCTGAGTCACCGCCGCCCGCGCCCGCTCCCTCTCTCCGCCTTTCCGGGGCTTCCAGCCGCCTCCCGCCGACGCCCGAGCCGGGGACGCCTGGTGACAAGTGTCCTCTGCGAGGGGCGGCTGTGCCGCGCGCCGGGATCGGGGGCCTCCAGGGCCTGCTCACGACCCACCCAGGCCCTGCTGCTGAACAAAACCCGGTGGGAGCTCCGTGCCTGAAACCGAAGCCACCCCTTTCGCGCCAGACTTCCCAACTGCGTCCGCCCCTGAGCCCCGGGGCTGCTCGGTACAATGGCCTTTTTTTTTTTCGAATTCCACTACTTCCAAGGGTTGCTAGTTAACCCTATCACAGGGCAGATTTCAAACGACAGGATTTTTACAATTCAGGACCAAAGCATGAACAAGTATAAGGTTTTTAGGTGACTTTTTTCTTGGCGTATATATGTGACACGGGGCCAGCTGCCTGGAATCTGCTCTACTGTGTTCCTGCAGGAGTTTCAAACTTGACTAACTCGGTCATTAACTTCCGTCAGCGTATGGGTGCAGTTTGTTTCCGATTCACGGACTCCCAGGCCCCAGAGCTGCCCTCCGAAGTGGGCAGGCCTGCTCTGGGTTCGGCCACTTGGCCTCCTCGCCTCCTCTTCTCGAATTGAAACTGAGAAAGATAGAAAAGTGAGGGTAGGAGAAATATATCAGAATTCGTAAGAATAGATTATTAAGCTCAACAAGAAGCTAAAGCACCAGAAAATAATTCTGGAGAATTAGCAGTTTTTCCAACTCCTTGAGAGGGGGTTCTAGGGGCCCGGGGACAGGGCCTTCAGCTCAAGGTCAGACAGGGAACTACCTTAAAAACCAGGCCATGTGGCCATTCAGAAATGTCACAGTCACTTGTGCGGTGACAGTGAAGAAAGGAATTTTGCCTTATTTTGGTTCCAGTAGATACAATACCAGGGTTGCACTTTCAACGTAACCATATGAAAAAGTTCCCTCACTTGGAGGCCATTTTTTTCTTTAATGTTTGTTCTCAGTTTTAGAAAAGACCCTTGTTTTGCCTCTAGTCCTCTTGTTTTGCAGATGAAACCTGTTTTTTGTCATTTATTAGCCCCCACCCATGCCCTTTGGGCTTCTTAAAGGCATTCCTGATGAACACCTCATGCTCCCACGTGTGTCCCAGCACAGGCTGGGCACACCGGAGGTGCTGTCATTTCTGGGTTCCAGCAAAGTCAGCACAGCCTTTGGAGAAGGCATCTTGTTTTTGAAATGAGAACGGTAGGCTTTCTCTTCTACTCATGAATCTCTCATCAACTTGCCGTGAGAATGTATCTGGTCTAAATTTCAGCATGAGAAGCACAGGCCTAAGTAAGAAAACATTCAGGTACCCAGGCGGGCTGCCTGTTGCCCATAGATGGACTGTTCACACAGCTATTAACGGCAGCGGCAGCATTCCTGGGCCCAGGAGCCTGGCCAATAGCTTACTTGCACAGGCTTTGTGACAAGAAAGTCTGAGTAGCCAGGAAGTGGGATGTTTGTAGGGAAAAGTACTCCAGTCCCTCTGAGTCACAACTCATCCACCTTGCATAAATCAAATCTTTAAATCAATAATGTTTCTATAGTTAAGAACTGAGTCCAGTTTTCTTATTTAAACAACCCATCTTTCAGCCTTACCGTGAAGGCTTGAAAAATAATGTTGTAGATATTTGTTGAAACGGAAAGATGTTCATGCTATGGTGTCAAGCGAAAAATCTGATTACCCATAGTGTGACCCAATTTGTCATTCATATGCGTTCATATGCCTAAAAAGATGGTGAAGGTAATATTTTCTCTAGCTGGTAGGTTTGTTGTTTTTGCTTGCCTGCATTTTCTTTCTGTACTAAACGTATATAACTTGCGTATTAAAAAAAAATACAAGTTCAAAATAAAATTTAAAAATTCAGTTCTTGAGAAAACACGTGTATTAATATACCAGACCCAACAGGCAAACATTTGAAACCATGTGTGTATATCTAAGTCAATAAAGGAATGTGGCTGGAAAAGAAAGGATAGATTTAGACTTCTCAGCTGTGTTTGGAATTTTAAATAACCTAGTAACCCAGGCATGCTATTTAGTTCCTTTTTTTGCTCATTAATCTCGAGTTCAAAATGGGAATGTGAGAAATTCACTCACTGTAGGGTGACAATGTGATCAATACAGTCAGCAAACTATTAATTAAGGGATTTCCATTCCTCAAATATCCAACATCAGGGTGTGGCAGAAGCACTTTTGTTTGGTGAGGAGGTTAACTCCAGCACACAAGCAATCGTTTGTGGGAAAATGTTTGTATTTATAGATTAAACTTGAGCCATGACAGTTTTATAAATTCATCTCTTCTAAAATCATGAAAATGGTCTTTGCCTAGGTAACTTCTTTATCATAATGTAATTTAACGTGACTTAAATAATGGTACTATTTAATTTAAAAAATGCAAACTACTTAATTTTGATATTTGAATTCTAATTTCAGGCAGACAGGACAAGAGGTGACTGAGATCATTTTGAAAGCTGCCATTCTCCCCCTTTTGCTTTTTTGAGAACATTTAGGAACACATACCTTCACATTTATAGAGTCAGAAAGAGATTGTGCCTTTTTTCCTATTACACACCCTGTTCTTTTCTGCTTCTGGGCTGCCTCAGGTGTGGTCTGTAATGTACTTACTCTACATAAACGTCTTCCTTTAAGGAGTGTTACAGCATTCTCTATTAAGTGCGTTATTACATGTAAATGGGATACTGTAAGTGAAAACATTTACACAGTGTTTGGCACATAGTGTTAGCTCTTCATCTTTATATTTTCCCTGTATGAACCATAACACAAGACATTCATTTGATTCTTCTCTGCATAGCTTATTTCCCTCACTACAGTCACATGTCACTTAATGCCGGGGTTTTCGTCATGTGTGAACGTGTTAGAGCGCACTTACACAAACCTAGATGGCAGCTTACTGCACAACTTCTATATGGTACTAGCCTTATGGGACTATCATTGTAGATGTGGTCCACCGTTATGCGGTGCACGACGGCATATGAAAAGTTGACAATACATAGTTTAGAAATTATTTATTAATGATTTAAAGTTATTTACACACATATACTCACGCAGTAGTCAAGGTACTGAAAGTTGAAAACAATCTGATTTTGAAGAATTTTCACTTTTTTTCCTCTCCCGGAAATGGAAGTGAGAAAGGCACAAAACTGAGGGTAGGAAAAATCCATAAGAATTCATGAGAATATACTAGTAAGCTGACAAAAAGCTGATACACCAGAAAATAATTCTGGGAAAAATAAACCTTTGGTTCTGTTCATACCTACATTCCAGCGTAGAGAGTTAAAATGGGAGGCAGAAAGCTTTCCTGAATGTTCCCCAGATGAATGTAGTGTAGCCAGTGAGATTTAGGAAGGTGAAGCTATATTTGGTAACCCAATTAAAATAACTACATTCTCAAGTTACTTACTGGGAAACCATGGTATTCTTAGTATTTTAAAACTTGTCACAACCTGTGCTAATGTAGGCTCTTTTCTTCCTCTTTCCTAAGTAACTATCATCATCTGAGAATCAGCATTCAGCAGCAGGTAAACATTTTTTTAAGAAGAAAACAAAGAATCGTAGACTCCAAGGATCTGGCTAGCGTGGCTAATGCTCTTGCATTAATCATGGAATTGTAGATTTGCCTCGGGGAGCCCAGGAGTAGTACAGTGTACCTGAGGAGTAAACAACACACTGACGAAGCGTAAGCCTGTCACGCAGAGAAAATCAACTTTGTTACCCCATAGCTGCATAGTGTGCTCCTGAATTTCAGTCAGTCATTGGTGTTACTGTCCTTTTTTGAATCCAAGGAAAGAAGGGTAAATATTAATGTCTAAAGCTCCTCCAAAGGGTTAAATTTCTAAGGAAATCAAAGGAGGGAGAGACAAAGAAGGTTGTTCTCCATGGAGTTTTGTTTTACTGGCGTGGCAGGCAGGAAGACGAGCAGGGTACGCCAGGCGGCCCTGGCCACATCTGTGTAGTAACAACTGCTGTTTCCTAAGAACTCATTCAAGAACTATCTCTTGGATACCTATTCTAAGCAAGAGCTCCCACTGTCAGATGACACAATCCAGGTCTGGGATTTTCTTTCCTTAGAGTGATGGAGTGGTCCAATAAAGGTTCCTGAATTCTAGGTTTGTTATCAAGTCCATTATCATTATGAACAAGTTCTTTATTTCAGTTTCTTAATGGGGAGGGGATTTAATGTTTATTATGTGAAAAATTATACCATAAGGAATAATGATCAGTTAAGAAAAAATTCCCTCTTCTCTCATTTGGACTTTGCCTCTAATAATTATTGTTTTGGTATTTATACCTTTAAACCATCAATAGGATAATATCCGTCCTGACCCTTTTTTATTCAGGCAAAAGAAGGTGCTCCTGGTGAATCTGACCCTGCACAACCCCGGGGAACCTCAGGACATTTGCTCTGGCCACAGCGATCAGATAACATCCCAAATCTGGCTAGACCACTTGAAGGTGACAACTCTGTAAGAAGTTGTTAATGAGTTTCCACCAGCCAAGTCCAATGTCTCTTTTTACCTTCCTAGTTTTTAGAAAGCACCTCAGTCTGTTACCAGCTCTGGGGAGCCCTTCTATTGGGGAAGATATTGCTGAAATAATAAACAGTAACAACAGCAATGGTAAACTATTTACTGAGCCAAGGACTATGCTAAAAACTTTATAGCTTAGGTAACTGAGGCTCAGAGAAGTATTTTTAAGATAAACCCAGTCTCTTAACCACTAAGTGTTCCCATCAGAATTATCTTAACCACCTAAGTAGCAATAGCCAACCCATGCAGCACTCGCTGCCTCGGAAATAATCTCATCTCTTAGGGGTTCTTCCATCCATCGTTTTGATTTCGTCTGTAGAAGAGTCAGATTTCTGATATGAATTTGAAATTTCACGTCACTCTTTTTTAACACAAGTTTCTTTGTCTTCAAAACTCCCAAATATGTTATGGACTCATCTGCATTCTGTATACAGATTTTTTTTTTCCCCTTTCAAATGGTGGTTTAACCTGTTACAGAACGTCAGGCCTCCTCCCGGTAATTTAATCGGAGCAGTTAATTTTCAACTAAGTGTTCAGAGTCAATCAACCTTCAACACATAACGCTGTAAAACACTCTGCGATCCAGCATTTCAACACTGCAAATTCCTCAATTAAATATCAATAAACAAAGTCAATGCCAATAGCGAATATTTCTATCAAGTGTCCGCCTCGCCCCACAGTTAAAATCCTGTGAGGAACAGATTCAGGAAATCATTCAATTAAAGTGAGAAAACAGGGGCGGTCCCAAGGTTAGGCGAAGAGGGAAAGAGAACGAATTTAAAGCAAACATCTTCTAACAATCGCTAACTCTGGCCGAGTGTCTTTAAACGCGGTAACCCGACACCCCGCGGACCCTCCGGGGACCGCGGCGCCCCGGAGCCTGCGCCCGCTCGGCCGCACTCCCGCCGGCCCGGGCCCCCGGGGCGAGGAACAGCCGGCCAGAAAACCCGCGGCCGCGAAAACAAGTTCGCTCCACCCGGCCGGAGCGGCTGGGGGCCGAGCCGGGGGGGCGGCTGCGACGTCACCCCTGCCGCCCCTACTCCCGCCCGGGCCGTGGGGACCCCGGCCCCACAAAGGGGCACGAACCCCAAGTCTCAAAGGAGAAAGGGGAAGGGCCAGCCGCCGCCCCCGCCCTCCGCGACCGAGGCCGTCAGCCGCGCCCCCACCCGCCGGGATGACCGCGCGCGCCCCCGCCCCCGCGAAGACCGCGGCGCTGCCGCTCGCACCGCCCCTCCCCCACCGCCGAGCCGGCGCGAGCCCCCGCACCTCCCCCGTTCCGGCGGCCTCAAGTCCCGGAGACACCGCCTCCGCAGACCGGGCAGCCGCCGCTGAGCTCTATGGGGCTTGGAGTCCTCGAGGAGGGCTTTGTGCGGCTGAGCCGCGAAGTTGGGGACTACGACTCCCACAATGCCCCGCGCTCGCCCCCGCGCCACGCCCCCTCGCCGTTGGCTTCCAGTCGCCCCCAGACTACATTTCCCGACAGCCCTCACGGCTCTCCCGCCCTCCCTCCCGAGACACGAGCCCGAACTGGGCGTCAGGTCGGGGAGCCGGTCGGGTTCCCGCTCGCCGCCGCCGCCCCCCGCAGCGACTCTCCCGCTTCTCCCGCCGCGCCGGCCGCGGGAGCTGCATCGCCAACTCTGCTTGGCCGTGGAGCCGCCGGCCCCGGAGCACAGAGCCCGGGACGCGACACACCGAGCCCCCAATCACCTCCAGCCGGGGCGACCCCTCTCGGGTCCTCCCTCGCCCTGCGCGGCCGCCGGAGCCCCCAGTCCCGAGCGGCCTCGCGGCCCGGCGCCCGCATCCCGGCCCCTGCACTCCCGCAGCCGCCGCCCCTCACCCTGAACATGGACTCCGACTCCTGCGCCGCCGCCTTCCACCCGGAGGTGAGTGAGAGCTGCGCCCCGATCGCCCCCGACCACCCTCACCCCTCTCCTGCGCTCGCGGGAGCCCGACCCCCGCGGACAGAGCGCCGCCCTCCCCTCCCCCAGCTTTCCCTCGCCGCTGCCCCCCCCCCCGGCGCCCAGCCCCGCCCCCCATTCGGGCCCGCGCCCCGTCCTCCCGCCGGCCTTCGCCTCGGCGTCCTTTCCGCGGGCGTCCGCGTCCTGCCGGCGCCCCTTCCCCCCTGCCGCCGCGCCCACTCCTCCCCGGCCTCGCGTAGCCCCGGGACCTGTCTGCGCCCCCGGCCCCTCCCCACCGGCCTGACTTACCCCTTCCCCTCCCCCGGGGAGTCGGTCCGAGCCGCCGCCGCCCTGCGCTCCCGCCTCTCGGAGGACTCCCCCTCCCCCACCCCCTCCCGGAGGGGCTCGCGGTCCCCCTCTGACTGGGACTTCGCTCCGCAGGCCCCTGCCTGCTCCCCTAATCCCCCAGGCCGGGTGGGCTGCGCCCCGCCCCCTGACTCCCGCGCGGCCCGCGCGGCCCCCGCCCCCTCCGGCTCGGGGGTGCCTAGTCCTTGGGGGTCCTCCCCCTGCGGGGGCCGGAGCCATGCCCCCATCCCCGGCGCGCTCGCCTCCCCCTCCGGGGCCCCCGCCCCCCGCCCGCGGGCTCTGCTCGCCCCGCCTTTCTCCCTCCTTCCGGGGATCGGCCTTCGGTTCTCCGGGCCGGCCCCCCCTGGCGCTCCCGCCGCGTCCCCTGTCCCCTCCCGAGGCCCGCCGGGTCCGGGATGCGGGTCTGGTCGCGGGTGGATGGGGGAGGGGAGGCGGCGCCGGCCGCGCTCGCCCGCTGCGGTGCCGCCTCGGTGATTCGCGGGGCCTGCCAGCCCCCGACCCCGAATCCTGCCCTCCTTCCCGCGCCCCCTCCCTTGCGGGATGGGCCCCGCACCTTCCGGGGCCGAGTGTCGGCGGGGGGCGGTTTCCGCGGGGGGCGGGAGGGCGGGGAGGGGACCGCACCGCCATCTGCTTTTCCTAAAGGCGGCCGGGGCGGCGCTGCGGGCGGGGTGGGGGCGCGCGGGTCCCCCGCCCCGGGCCGCGGGCGCCGCCGCCTTCCGTTCTGCGTCGGGGCTCCTGACCCACTTCTGCACGTTCCCCGCCGAAATAAAAGTTCTCCCTGAGAGTTTGAGGGCCGAGGGCTGCGGGCCTCGCACCCTGGCCGGAGGGAGGGCGACAGTTCTTCCCGGGGGTGGGTGCAGGATTTCTCGAGCACAGGAGACGCTGGGTACCGCGCTGCGCATAGTGCTCCGCTAACCTGCGCACCCCTCGGGGTCTCAGCGCCCGACGGGTGGGGGTAGAAGGTGGTTTGTTATAACCAAGTTGAGAAAGTTAGAAGTGGAGCCCTTGCAAGGAAACCTGCAGCCAGCACGCCGGTGCCGCTTGGCTCACTGGGCTCGTCTGTCCTTGGGAGGGGCTGGGCTAGGCGGGCCCAGGAGTCCACCCCCCACCCCCCCTTCTCCTCCCCTGCTATCACTCTAGCAGGGCGATGGGGCCCTAGGCTCTGGAAGTGTTAGCTGAGCATGTAAGGATGGGGTTGAGGTGGGTGATAAATGCTTAAAAAAAACCTCAGTAAATATGCTAGTCGAATAAGCCGAAATAAAGCACGGTTGTTTTGCTCAGTAGCAAATAAGGGCTCTTTCTCCCGGAGCTGCTCTCCTACTCAGGAGAAAATCCATTCTTGTCGAGGGTGTTTCCAGATTGACTGACAGGACACGCAAGCCAAAACCTCCAGTACTTCATCTTCAACCTGCAAATAAGACTAGCAGGAGTGTTTCTGGCTTGTTCTGAGTGGGGGAACATTGGGGTGCCTGGCCCCCTGGAGGTTGGAGCAGTGGAGGGACCAGCAGGAAGTGCCTCCTGGAGAAGAGAGGGCGGTAGGAGGTGGGGGCGGTCAGGCAGATTCAGTTGCAGGGTCCCAGGCTCAGGGAGCTCTGAAGGTAAGAAGTAGCTGACTTTTGAAATCACCTAAAATACTTTAGTTTCAGCTGCAGCAGGAGTTTGTTTTCAAAATGGAAAATCTGTAGCAAGAAAAGTGGTCATTAGAGCCCTGGATAGGCCTGCAGAAACTGATAGATAATGTCAGAAAATGCCACATGAGTGCTAAGAAATAGACTTTTGTACAAGCTTTTATATCCTAACCAGTTTCCCAGTATTCTTTGCATAACGTTATAATACTCTCTTTTAAGCTTCTGAAAACAGTGTTATTTCTTGACCTGAGCTTACCTTATCTTGTTTCTAGAATGTTTGCAGATCTAGCAGTATGTTTTGAGTGGTTGACATTAAAAGCTCCAGCTTGTTTAGCTTTGTTTCTGCCATTCCAGCTACAAATGTCTCCTTTCAACCACACTCTGTTTTCTCATCCACTAACAGGAGTACTCCCCCAGTTACAAGAGGCGCAGGACAGTGGAGGATTTCAACAAATTCTGCACCTTTGTCTTGGCCTATGCTGGCTACATCCCTTATCCGAAGGAGGTAACCTTCAGCACTTCTGAGACCTTTCTTGCTGGCAGTGAAACCAAAGTGTCTCATAGGCAGTGGGGTCTGGAAGGGTTGTGCAGGAGGACTTCAGACAATAGTCAAGCAGAAATCCTTCTTGGAAACTTAGACCAGCCTGGGAAGGGGTTCCTAAAACTCAGAAAATACAGGCTGGGGGCCAGCTCGGTGGCACAGTGGTTAAGTTCGCCCGCTGTACTTTGGCAGCCCGGGGTTCGCTGGTTTGGATCCTGGGTGCGGGCCTATGCACTACTTACCAAGTCATACCGTGGCAGGCATCCCATGTATAAAATAGGAGAAGATGGGCATGAATATTAGCTCAGGGCTAATGTTCCTCAGCAAAAAAAGAGGAGGATTGGCAGTGGATGTTAGGTCAGGGCTAATCTTCCTCAAAAAAAAAAAAAAAAGAAAGAAAATGCAGGCTTGTCCAGAAAAGATTTAATAAACTTTCAAAGTTTGCCTGCAGATAACGTATTTGATATCTGTCTGCTCTTAATGTCCAGTACTTATTGAGTGCTTTCTAAATGGCCAGGCGCTGTTCTTGGCGCTTATCTGATGTGAAGTAGGTGCTATTATTTATCCCTGTTTTAAAGATGGGGGCACAGGGTCACAGAGAGGGAGCTGTGAGGCACAGTGGTGGAGCCTGGAGTTCAGCCAGGTGGTTGGCGGGTCCACCCAGCTGTGCTTGGCAAGCAGCCTCCTGGTGGTTGTGCATGTCGTATTAGAGGATCTTCAGAGACTCGTGGCCCAAATCCCACGTAGTTTAAGGGAAGTTTTTTCCTTGCTAAGAAATGGGCAGAACTGTGACCAGCACTGCCATGGTGCTCTAACTTCACGAGCCTCATTCATATTGTATGAGGCTGAAAAGAAAGGAATCCTAGGCGGCCACGTGCAGCATAGGTTTATCATTCCCACCGCCGTCTAGGTGGGTGATGCTTGCTTCGTGCCACACAGAATGTTGCTACCATTGCGAATAAAATGCGTGAATGATCTGAAGGAACCACAGAGTTTAGCTCACTGCTTTGGGGTAATAGTTACCAATTTTGATTTTGCAATAGTTTGTGATGTCTCTGTTTTTGAAAAAGTATCAGAACATTCTCAAAACTAATGTAAATTGCCTTAATTAAAAAAATACATCCTTTGGAAGGACAATTGGAGGGGAGATTTTACAGTTGTGGAAAGATAAGAGGGTTTGAGAGGGTGTCTTGGGCACTCTTTTCGCAAATACTTATTGAATGTTGATTGAGTTTCTGGCTCTGGGCCGCGGGCTGAGGGTTCAGCAAGGGTAGGAGTTTTGCCCCTCGTGGGTTCACATTCTGTCTGGAAGGTCACAGTAGGGTACTAATGACATCGTTCCTAAGGAATAATGCTCATGAGAGCTGGGAAGCTCAAGGTTGTGCGAGGGCACGTCTGTCTGCAGGCCTGACCTGGCCGGGGCTGCCTGCGGAAGCTCTGCTCGGGACCAGCTCTTGTTGCCGGGGAATGGTCTAAATAATCGGAACCCGCCACCTTTGCCTCTGTCCTTTCAGGAACTCCCTTTGAGGAGCAGCCCCAGCCCTGCCAACAGCACCGCTGGTACCATTGACAGCGACGGCTGGGACACTTCTTTCACTGACATCTCATCCGCGGTGCCCTTGCCAGTCTCTGACCGCTGCTTTGGCCACCTGCAGCCCACCCTCCTGCAGCGAGCCAAGCCTAGTAACTTCCTGCTGGACAGAAAGAAGACTGACAAACTGAAGAAGAAGAAGAAGAGGAAGCGAAGGGACAGTGACGTGCCCGTGAAGGAGGGGTACATGGGGAGCTTAATGAAGCTGGAAGCTGCTGATGCATATGTAGAGACCCCCACGAGTCCCACCCTGCAGGATATCCCCCAGCCCCCCGGTGACCCCTGCTCGGGCTGGGACTCCGACACGCCTTCCAGTGGATCTTGTGCCACGGTGTCTCCTGATCAGGTCAAAGAAATAAAAACTGAAGGCAAACGGACTATTGTCCGGCAGGGAAAGCAGGTGGTGTTCCGGGACGAGGACAGCACCGGCAATGATGAGGACATAATGGTGGACTCAGGTGAGTGGTACCTGAAGTACGGCCACGCTGTTGGCTGGTAGTCAGAAGAGAGGTGATTGTAAGCAGGGTCTCAGCGGTCCCTTCCGTAGAGTGTGACAGCAGAGTGTGCCCCCCTATGTCTAGGGAGAAGGGTACAAGAATCGGGGCACTGAGATGTTAGGAAGGAGAGATTGCAGCTAGAAACAGCTGAGATTCCAAGACAGACCTCAAAATAGAAAAATAATGTAGCTCATAAGTAAATATCTCACGGGTAATTCCTGATACTACGTGTTTTAGTGCCCTTTGTCGTGCATTTACAGCATTTTCAGAGAGGGCAGTATCGGACGTAAGTGAAAGTTGAAATCAGTTTCATTTGTTGAGGATCAGGTCTCAGTGCAGCTCAGCTGCTCTCTCCCGTTGGAGAGTGGCCCTCCTGGTGGAGAGGGATCCTGGTGGAGAGCGGCCCTCCTGGTGGAGAGGGATCCTGGTGGAGAGCGGCCTTCCTCCTGGTGGAGAGGGATCCTGGTGAAGAGGGATCTTGAAAAGTTTTTTCCCTCTTGTTATGTGTTTCTCTTCTTTCAGATGATGACTCCTGGGACCTTGTCACCTGCTTCTGTATGAAGCCATTTGCTGGCCGCCCCATGATAGAGTGTAATGAGTGCCATACTTGGATTCACCTGTCCTGTGCGAAAATCCGGAAATCCAATGTTCCGGAAGTGTTTGTCTGCCAAAAGTGCCGGGACTCCAAGTTTGACATCCGCCGTTCCAACCGTTCCCGAATGGGCTCCCGGAAGCTGTTTCTGGACTGACTGCTGGCGAGCAAAGAGACTGTGGATGAGGAATCGGAAGGGACAGTGGGCTTTTTGGCCCCTCTCTTAGTTGAGCACAGAACTCTCAGCTCTGGTGCGGGCAGACCCCTGCCATTCAGGTGCCTAAGCAAAAGGACAGGCTGTCCAAGGTATAAACTGTACATAGCCAGTGACTGAATAAATCCTTGTTGGCCAAAGCTGCTGCTGGAGCTGTGTTCTCTGCAGTGGAGGTGGACTAAACACCCAAGTGCAGTGGGTTTGGCTCAGCTGAACATGAGGGTACATGGTAGTTGTGAATTCTTGCTCTCATTGTTAACCAACTCCCGTCGATTGGAACAAGTGCTAGCTGTTACTCCTGCTTCCTCTGTGTTGGGAGAGGAGGTGTTCAGTTTCCCTGGCCTGTTAATGAACAGCCATACTTGTAAGCTTTTTCTCAAGTCTAAGTCTTTTACCATAAGTGTCCGTACAGCAACCATCAAAGCTGCCCCTGCCTTTGTGGTCTCCCGTCTCCCCTGCCTCAGTGGCTGCCTGCTGGAGTTCTCTGCTCTCCCTCTGAGAGGAGCCCCAGGGCGGTGGGCTGGCTAGTGATCCCTAGGTTTCCTTCTGTTTGTTAAAAGGGACAGTATATGGCCACTTCTCTGTGGAAAGGGGGTTGGTTGGGGGGTTGAGAGGTAGCCTGTGTTCATAACTCAGTTTCCTGTTTTGCACGATGTAAAAAAACCTGTCTTTTTGCACGATATAGCCAAAAGTATTGGCAGAGTTCTGCCTTGGTGCCCTTTCTCTCCAGTTGGCATTTGAGGTCCTGGGGGTGCCCAGGCAAAGTGTTTTCAAGCGAGGGGGCACTTAGATTCTCTCCTTGTCTCTTCCCCTTACCTTGTTCCAGTAGCAACATAAAGGTTAGGCAATCACTGGGGAATGGCGTTCCTCTACATAATGGGGTAAAGAAAAATTGGGAGGAAGCCTCTCCCATGGGTGATTCTTAGTATGCCCTCATACAGGCTGGCCTGCTGGTTCCACAGGGCAAGGTTAGGACTTGAAGCCTTTTCTTTGTTTGAATTGGTGAGTGAGTGATACAGTAACGTTGGCCTCCAGGAATATCCCACTGAATTGTGCAGAGTTCCTTAAATCTGAACTAGGACCCTGGATTGAGGAGACCCCTACGCAGGTCAGCTCTGGAGAAGCCGGGGAGTTTGCACCTGAAGCCCCTGCAGGGCCCTGCTCGGGGGCCGTGAACCCTGGGATCCTGGTGGTTTCCAGAGTTCCAAGGAGAGGAGGGCTTCAGTGCTCTCCGAAATTGACATGACTTTTTAGCAGTTCAAATACTTGTTCTCAAAAATGTTTTTTTTGTAAATCGATGGATGTGTTTTCATAAACGTTTCTTGTAAAGCATGAAAAGGGAAAAATGGCCAGGTTAGTCATATTTATTTACTGCAGGATGGACCCCTAGTCTCTCTGCCAGGGCCTTCTCCACAGGGCTCACTTGTGTGGGGCCACCAGGCGGACTCCGTCCACATTCTCTCACTGAAGCACCAAGGGGGTTGAACTGTATTTGGCTCCTTGGAGCCCATATTTTGTCGTTGTATCTTTCATGCTTGACCAGCCAACTGCCTTTTTTTTTTTTTAAATTCTGTGTTTATATTAACAGAAAAATAGAAATAGTTTCTGAAACCCAGTTTATTGTGAAGATCCCCAAGGGAGAAGTTCTGCTATAGAGAAAAATAGTGAGAAGCTGGCTTAGAAACAACCTTCTCCCCAGACAACTGTCTGGCTCTGACGAGGGCAAACATCCAGGAAAAGCTGGAGAGGAATTTGCCAAAGATCTGCCCCTGACATTGCCTGTCCAGTGTCTTCACCGTGAGAATAGCCAAAGTTCCAAAGTGTTTTTCTCCTTTTCAAAAAAAAATTCCACAAGGTTTTAAAAGTGCGTTTAAGAGTACGTGTGATTTTCGGGTGGAAATGCCAGCGCTGGCGGCTGCTGCATTACTCTTAGAAGGTGCGGTGCCTGGTGACGCCTCTGCAAGGCATCGGATAATCATCTCGATTTCTGTTTCCTTCGTTTTCTTTTGTCCTTCTACCAGATCTATCCCTGGGGGTGGTGTCTAAGAAGTCAGGACACCTTGGTTTTGTGTTCCATTGAGCTGGGCAGCTGCAATCAGCTTTATGCAAATTAGGCATGGCCCGTCTAGGGGCTCCTGGTTGGTGGCTAATGAAGTGAGGGGAGAGAAAGATGTCACCCCAAATGTAGGCCCCTCCCATTGGCTTTGGCCCGGCCAGACACTTAACATCGTTTACATGGTTCTGTGTAATGAAGTTTATGTGTATAAAGCGAAGCTGTTTCTGTGAAACTGTATATTTTGTAAATAAATATATTGCTACTTTGAGATTCATGTCTGGCTTGAGGTGTTTGTGCTGTTTGCTGAAGGACAATTGTGTGTTTCTCCCTTCATCACCGCCCCCAAACCATGGTTACATGAAGACTTGGGAAGTTAAAGTCTGAGTGTGGTTTAGCAGGATGAAAAATGCCCACAGCCCCTAATATATCTTTCCAGTAAATTCTCCAGAAACAAATCACAGTATGAATAGACAGGAATAGCTTTCACAATTTCTTCATGAAATTGTGGATTAGCTTAAACCCCAGTGAGTACCTGCTTTGTAAAGCTGCAGCCTCCTCTGAGCTGTAAGCAGGACTGAGATCTCTCTAGGGTGCTCATTCCACCCCTTTACAGTTGGGGCTCCCAGGGGCCTGAGGCTGTTCTGTCAATCAGCTATGTCTGCCTAACTCGGACCAACTAGTGGTCAACTAGTACTTCCTCCAGAGACATTCAAGCAGCCAGAATCTACCTATCGACACCTTGAAATCTTGAAAATACTGGCCAAGTTGGGCGTTGAGCGTTACTCTGGTTTCCAGTTCTCCAAGGTTGTTGGTGGGTGTGATACTGGGGGCCCCAAAGCAAGGAGGGGAGGGCTACGAGCTTCAGTGAACCGGGGTGAAACTTGCACCGGCCAGCCCTGTTGGGAGTGTCGGGCCTGAGTTGGGCCCGAGAGCACCCTTTCATGTGGCACCCAGAGCTCGCCCGACTCTGGAGCAACGCGGGTCGGGGGCACCGCATGAGATACTGGCCCTGGAGCAGAGCCAGGCCAGCCTGCACCTCCTGGCGACCCGGCAGGCCCCGCCCTTTCCACAGGCCCCGTCCATTCAGGGCCCCGCAGGCCACACCCACCTTATGCCCCGCCGCCCGGCCGGCCCCGCCCCGCCCGCAGGCCCCGCAGCCGCCATCTTTGTTAGGGGCGGCCGGGCCTGGCGTGTGGAGATGCCGAAGTCGTGCGCGGCCCGGCAGTGCTGCAACCGCTACAGCAACCGCAGGAAGCAGCTCACCTTCCATCGGTGAGGCGCGGGGCGCGGGGGCGCGAGGCCCTGCCCGCTTCACCCGGGCCGCCCGCCTGCGGCCCCCGCCGGAGCCCGAGGCCTGGTGCACCGGGCGGGCCGAGGGCGTGCGGCCGAGCCTTCGCGGGGGGGCGGCGGCCCGGGGGCCGGCGGGGTCACGGGCGGCGAAGCCTGGCGCCGCCTCGGCCGGCCGGGGCGCGTGAGGAGACGGTCGAGGGGCGCATGGCCTCCTGCCGCCGGCCAGGCAAGCGCGTGCGAGGGGGCGGTGGGCCGGCCCTGCTGCGAGCTCGGGTCTCGGCTCTTTCCCCGGCAGAGCGCACCTAGCACCTAGCACCGCGCAGTTACTGAGTGCTCGTCCCCTCCAGGTCCCAGGGCCTTTATCTTGTCCACAGAGGCAGCCTGAGACGCAGTAGGTGTCCAGTATTTGCTGAATGAATGGGAGACGGTGACGGCTGTCGCGTTTGCGGTGCCCTCTGCAGGCCTCCTGTAGTGAGGGAAGCGTGGAGTGGCGGAGGGAGGACGGCCCCGTGGGCGGGGAGTGGGGCCGGGCGCGCTGCGGCCGCGGGAGTCCGGGGAGGACGGCGGGGTTTTGGAGTCCGTCCCTGGCTGTCCCAGCAGAGCTCGTCCGTGGGGCCCGTTGAATGTTGCCCGCTCCCGTCAAGGTGGCAGCCACTGCCCGTTTCACTGTCCCCTTTCGAGCACCACTCCAAAGGGCTGCTGCGCTCCTTGTCTGCGCCGCCTCTCCTCCTCTCATCATTGTCTTTTGCAAAGTGAACGTTTCTGTTGAAGTACTGTAGCACACTTTCAGAAGAGTGCGCGGCCGTCAGTGCACAGCCCAGCCGGTCTAACGCAGTGAACGCCCCATGTGACTGCCATGAGTTAGAACATACTAGCCCCAGGAGACCCCCAACCGCATCCCCGCCTCAGCCCCTCGTCCTTCAACGTCCCCAAGGGTAACTTATATCCTGCTGTCCGTCAGAGTGGATTGCTTTGGCCTATTTTGAACTTTACGTGAATGGATTCACACAGTGTGTGCTTTTCTCTGTCTTTTGCTCACCATTATGTTGATGAGAGTCATCCTTGTTGCACGCAGCAGCAGTTCGTTCCTTTTCATTGCTGTGTAGTATTCCACTGAAGGTATGCACCAGAATTGGTTTGTCATACAGTTGAAGCGCCTCGGGATGCCTCTGCTTTTTGCCATTACAAGCACATCGCTCTGGACATCTTTGCTGGGATGAGTCTTCTGGTGCATGCACCTGTACTTTTTGGTCGGGTATGCACCTGGTGGTGGAGTCGCCCCTGGTTCTCTCTCTCTTTTTTTTTTTTTTTGTTTTTTTGGAGGAAGATTAGCCCTCAGCTAACTACTGCCAGTCCTCCTCTTTTTGCTGAGGAAGCCTGGCCCTGAGCTCACATCCGTGCCCATCTTCCTCTAGTTTATACGTGGGACGCCTACCACAGCATGGCTGCCAAGCAGTGCCGTGTCTGCACCCGGGATCCGAACCAGCGAACCCCGGGCCGCCGAGAAGTGGAACGTGCAAACTTAACCGCTGTGCCACCGGGCCGGCCCCCATCCTGGTTCTCTCTTGAACCCATTCCAGTCAGACTCTTGCCTCCACCACTCCCACAAAAGAGGTCTGCCAAGTCCCCAGGGGCCCTTATGGTGCCCACTGCAGTGGTCTGTCCTCATCTGAATTGACCTCTCTGCAGCATTTGACACACTGACCACTGACCCCTTGAGACTCTCCGACTTGGCTTCTAGGACACTTCCTGGCCTCTTCCTTTGTCACAGTGTCCCTTCTCAGTCTCCTTTGCTGGATCCTCCTTATTTACAACACCAGACGCTGGAGCATTTTGGGGTGAGGGGCATGGCTCTGTGTTGTCCCCGTCCACACTTGCTCCCCAGGGCTCCGATCTCACCCAGGCTTATGGCTTTACCACCCTTTATGCAGGGACAGTCCCCACATTGACATTTCCTGACATGTGTATCCACCTGCCACTCCACTCCAGCACTTGGGCATCTACGAGTCACCTCAGGGTCTGCCCCGGTGGCCTAGTGGTTAAGTTTGGCGGCCCAGGTTTGGTTCCTGCGCGCAGACCTACACCACACGTCTGTCAGTAGTGGCCATGCTCTGGTGGCAGCTCACATACAAAAAGAGGAAGACTGGCAGTGGATGCTAGCTCAGGGCCAATCTTCCTCAGTAGAAAAAAAAATCGAATGTATAAAACCAAACTTCCAATCCCCAAACCTTCCCTTCCTACAGCCCCACTTTGCCCCCCAATCTTAATACAGGAAACTCCTTCCTTCTCTCTTTATTTCATGGCCCACAGGCAAACCTTATTACGTGGTTTTCAAATTATATCCCAGATCTCCTGGCTCATTATCCGCTCCTGCTGACACCCTGGTCGCAGCCACCAGGTGCCCTCCTATGGCAGCCAGGGTGGACGCGGTCCGTCACCCTCTGCCCGGAGCCTCCAGGGACTCCCCATCTGCCCAAGGCCCGCATCCTGTGGTCCCCACCCCTCCTCTTGCTCTGTCTCAGCCCAGCCTGCCTGTGACCATTCCTCGCACACGTGGGGCACGCTCCTGCCAGAGAGCCTCTGCTCTCTTCCTTCTGATACCCACACAGCCTGCTCTCCCACTTCCCGCAGCCTCTGCTCAAACGTCACCTCTCAGGTGACCTTCCCTGACCATTCCCTACTCCTTATTCCTACGCAGTCTACATCTGGTCTACCCTCTGTCTCCCCGTTCTGGAATGCAGGCTCCGCGAGGGCGGGCTGTCTTCCTCACTCCCACATCCCACCACCAAGAGCAGGGCCAGGCTCCTGACTAACGAACGAAACCCCACCTGGCAGACATAGCTTCGGAAACAGCTCGCTTGGGCCCTTTGGCCACATTCATAGTCTCAAGTTTCCTACTAAGGATGCTGTAAACAGCCATGACAGAAGCTCCCAGAAATCAGATGCGGTGGTTGAATTTTCCACGCTGTCCAGTAAAATACTGTGTGGTGATGTGAAAATTCCACGGGACTCGGAAGTGCTGCCTTGGGCGTTGCGGATTCCCTCACGTCTGCTTCCTTGCCCCTCAGGTTCCCGTTCAGCCGCCCGGAGCTGCTGAAGGAATGGGTGCTGAACATCGGCCGCGGCAACTTCAAGCCCAAGCAGCACACGGTCATCTGCTCCGAGCACTTCCGACCCGAGTGCTTCAGCGCCTTCGGGAACCGCAAGAACCTGAAGCACAACGCCGTGCCCACGGAGTTCGCCTTCCAGGAGCCAGCGCAGGTGGACACACTGCTGTCTTTCTCCCCAGATCCCGCCTGCCTGGGGGGGGGGGGGTGTTTGCGGGGCGGGCAGCACTGTCGAGCCTCTGGTTCCGAGCCCAGCCGGCCCTGCCGGCCATGACCCTCACTGGAGGGAAGTCGCAGTTTAAAGCCACTTTAAAAATAAATCACGCTTCACAGCTGGATGCCGTTGAAGCGGCTGAGTGGCGAGTGTGCCGGGAGCCTGGGCCTTGATGCATTTCACTTCTGCTGGGCCTCCTGCGGGCTCAAGGCCACGCGGCGAAGACCTTCCCAGCGGAAGGCAGCCGGCTGTGGTGCGTTGAGACTTTGTCCTGTCCTTCCTGGTAGCCGGCCGGGGCTTGGGAGCGTGTAGTCCAGACACTGTGCCGCTGCCACTCTGCAGGTCTCCACTCAAGTGCTCCGTGTGCCGCGCGTGCCAGCTGAGGGCTCTCTCCAGGGCACGGAAGGACGGGGCAGGTGGAGTGCTGGGGGGAGACGGGCCAGTGCGGGCAGAGGTGGGAGGGATTGGGGCACACTCAGGAACAGCATCGGCTCAGGCTGCTTGCAGAGGCCAGACGGTTGGACAAGCTGTGGGTTTTTGGGTGAGGGTTGTGGCTTTGGAAGGCTCCCTCTGGCTGGAAGCTGGTTTGGAGGCCACTGTGGTGTCCCAGGTGAGTGCAGCCATGTGGCCTGAGCTGGTGGTGAGTGTGGTGAGGAGAGGTGC